CCTACAGCAAGTTTTTCGTTGTGCAGATAGAAAAGTGAGCCCGAAATCAACTGACCATGATGAGAATGCACATTGGGCCTCTGACCGCACAAAACGAAGAGGTGTAAATTTAGAGCGCCATGTGATTGGACGGATGGAGCAGACGGATCGATCGATGCTTTTTTTGGCGCCTTCCATCGCGGCGGCTGACGAAATTCGCGGGAACGAGGCACGAGGTCTGTTTAGTTGGAAAACCCCCAAAATAAAACCAGATACGCCCGAAAAATGGAATGGAATGGTCGCGCTGGCCAACTAATGAGCACAATGGGCATAAAGTCAGCGACACCTTATCTCCAGAAACTCGTTCAAGACGTTCGGTGCTCGAAACTTGGATGAGAGGGAGTTGCTGGGGGTGGCCGGGTGCTATGGGTGCCATGGGTTATTCATCACGGGGCAATCAATTCCCGTACGGCATGATTTAGTGATATGACCGCGGTGTTGCATCAAGGGAACGAACCAACGTAGCCAACCAACCATCCATCCATCCATCTATCGATTGGCCGCCGTCATAATTCCCGACGCCGCAGTATCATAAAACCCGGGAACTAGCATACCATATTCTCTGCAACGCTATACTATAATACTATACCATAATACCATATCTACCTGCCGGAGGAAACGCGGCGCGTGCGCTAATCGGCGACAATTGTCAGTTGTGCCCAACTATCTGCGACTATATCTCTTTCTTCTGATGCACAATGCCCAAATTATGGCCAGACTCGGGTTTGCAGACCAGGTCTCTTCGGGTCGAGTGTCGTTGATCCGGCAAAGTCAATTGGTTTCTAACGAGCTTAGCTCCTGTGCAGACTCTGTCTGAGTATGGGTGTCGCAGAACCATGAATGGAATTACAGATATTGGGCAACTCAACAGAGATTATGGTATAATATTTTTTAGGAAAGTTATTAACTTAAAATTGCAACAAGAAGTTTTATTTTTAAATACTACGTGTATTTTTAAATAAAAGATCAAACTGATAACTCTGGTTTTATGCCAGATAATAAAAAAATAACACTCTAAGTCATTATTACCTTTTCCACTTAAACAACCCTTATCGATGACACATCAGCATGATATTTCGAATATATTGAAATGATGTTTTAGTGCCCTTTTCGATGAAATTCCTTTTACTTTGATACCATTCTGGATTTATTTATGATGCTTTGGTTACCCAAGGATGTCATACTTTGGAAATTGCATTCTTAAACTGGGGGACTTCCCCCAAATGCAATAAAACCAAACTAAACTTCCGTCTAATCGTTGGCAATTGCTCAAGTGGAGGCCCGACCAGGTTTGCCCACTTGTTGTGTCAGCTTATTTGTATGGATTTATATTTTTGCTGTGACAATAAACAGGGAATTTCACCAAAAAGCAAACTGTGAACTGACGCATTCTACCAGCTAACGGCATTTGTTTGGCCACAAGTCGCAAATACCCTTTATTTAAGGGGGTATACTCTATTGTTGTGTAAAACAAAAAATAATAATACCTACTAAAAAAAAAATAAATTCGTAGAAAAACCTCTAAGCTTCTGTTCTAGGCACATTTATTGTTTTTAAGATTTTTGTTTTATCTTAACAGTAAGTTAAATTTTTAATTGAATTTTTCCAGGGTATAAACCGCTACAGTACTAAACAAGCACGTTTTGCTTTACGATTTCTGTTGTTGTTTCTACCTTTATTATTATTATTAAACAAGCCGTTTGGCTGGTCATAGTTATTGTTCTTTTGCCGTTGGTTTTACCCCCTTTTCGTCAGGGAAGGGGGTGCAAAGTTTAAGTCAAAGCGGAGAAACAATAAAAAATAGGTGAAATAAAAAATAACAAAAATTGCGGCGCGCGCCTTTTCAATAGTGTTTTTCAGCTGGTGAGTGTTTTGTTTTTTTTTTTTTTTGTGGGTGGGTGGGCGGGGGTGGGTGGGTGCCCAGTCACCTTGACATGTCACTGGCGACAACAGCAATAACAATAACACCCATTAAACACATTAACAAAAGCACAACAACGGCTAACAGGCAAACGAGTGCGAATTAAAACAATTATGGCTTTGCTTTTACGAAATGAAAAACCAAAAACGAAAGTGAATTTCAGGCATTGCTGCGACAGAAAAAATATATAAGTGGCCCAGCACTGGAAAAACCAATTGCCACTCATAACTAAAAAATGTTTAGATCTAAAAGGTTTAAATGAAAATTTACCACATTTTTATGCTATGATAATAAATACAAAAATCATTTGTAAAATGACAATAGATATAAGTTTAATACTCGATACGTATTTTTTTCTGTGCAGAAAATCCCACCATAAAGTGATAAAGAGGGGAATATTTGGAGCAGGAGTGGGAGGCAGTTTTTCAATGCTGAAGCGTGGGACCTTAGTTGTTAGCATTGTTTGCTATTTGTTTTATGCTAAATTAAATGCTAACTAAATGTTGGCAATTAAATGTTAATGCTGCTGCCTCTTTCGTCTTCTTCTTCTTCTTCATTTTATGCGGCGGCTGCACTTAACCGTTATTTGTATCGCCGACACTTTCCGTCAAATTGAAAAGGGAAATTGAAACAGAAACTGAAACGCTTCGGTATCTCAGCTGTTTGCATATGGCAAAAATGCAATATCTGGATGGCCTTTAATGTTTATTTAACACGCATTGCCATTACCATTATATTACTCATATTGTGTTGCTATATTGTTGTTGTTGGTATTGTGTTTGTTGTTGTGCCACCCACGCGCATGCGCAGCCAGTCAAAAAAAAAAAAAAAAAAGCAGTGACGCATGCGTTGATTAAAACAAATGTTCTACTGAAATATGTTTCAAAAAGTTTTGTTAAAGTTTCAAAAAAATTTACAAAGAATAGAATTCAAAAAAAAATTATGTAAGCATGCATCGCATGTTCTATAAGCTTTTAAAAATAAGAAAAATGTTTTATGCAAGATATATTTTTCACATTGTATATGAGTTGTTTTATAATCCCCAAACCACTGTGCGAATTTTTCAAGTTCATTATAAATAAAACGTAAATATTATTAAATTGTGTACAAACAACGCGTTGCACGTGTCGCTTTATGCGAAAGTGTGTGCGTAGGGGCACGTGTTCGTATCGGTGTGGGTGTGCGTGTGTGGGTGGGTGTATTGAGTGTATTGAACTCTTGCTGCATTTTTTGAACAATTTCGCCGCTTTTTTTTTTTGCTTGCATTGTATTTTTTTGTTCATTTATTTTTATGTACTGTTATTACAATTGTTTTACGTGCCGATTGTATGATACATTTTTTTAATGGAAATTAATTGAATGTATCGATTTTGGGAAAGATGCTGAAGGGTTGGACACCTAATTTACATTCTTCAGGCAGCTGACACTCTTTTGAGTTGACCTCTCGTCTTCCTTTTTATAATTTTTATAAGGCGGTCAACTGTAACGGCGACGTTGTTGCTTTTTCAATGAGCACACTGAAGGAAATCGTGGTTACTTTGGCTTAAGACTGCTTAAAAAATCGATTACTTCAAATACCTAATACGAAAAGAATATCTTAGTTATTTTGTACTTTTAACTTTAAATTTGAACCAACAGAAATTGTAATTTAATTGAATGAAAAAAATGAAAAGTAACTGTTCATTTCTCGCAGTGAAATAATGTTAATTTTAATGCTGCTCGATTGCTGATGACGCACCCCGAAGAGGTGAAAAGGTGAAAAGGGACCAAGAGACCCGATCGTCTCCGACTTCCGTTCTTGGCTAAGTTAGAGGTTAAGGTTGAGGAACTTGCCCAGGAAGTGTCCGCTCGGGGGTTAATGGATATGGATGTGCGGCTGTGGATGACCAAAGATACGGATGGGGATGTGAATACATGTACGGATGTGGACGTGCTCATCGCTAGATGATGTGTGACTGAGATGGCAACAAACATGGCAAGCGTGGCCAATGGCAACGGGACTTGCCCAAAAATCTAAAATGCATCTAGAAACATATATTTATGTACGTATGTATATAGTGAATGTGGGTGCTATATTCAATGGTCACTCTTTGAAGGAAATCCTATGGAAATTACTTAATTATACAGCATTTTTTTAATCATTGGACTTTGTACCATTGTACGTTTGTTATTTTTTTTTTTTTTCCTAAAAAGGGTTTTTAGTTTTTAAGTTTCTGGATTTATTTAAATTCTTTGTTCTTATCTATATTTGTTTATGACATTTTATCTGGAATGCGGTTAAAACGTTTTTTTTTATCAAGTCTTCCGGTGTTAGTGGTCTTCATCTGGTTTTAATTTTCACATATCATAAGCTTTTCAAAAACACTTTAATAATGAGGACACCCACTGAATTATTTAAATCTTAAATAAGACCACAAAACATAGGATCCCCTATTACTTGACCCAAATAAAATAGATCAGCTATATATATATTTAAGTTTAGAAACATCCATCACATTTCCAATCTCTTATGTGATCACTGTAGTACCAATGGCCAAAAGAAGTTAAAGAAGAAGAGGCAGAAGTATTCTGCTGCGTCAACGCCTTCTCCTCTTTGCACCACCTTCTCCCCATTCCCCTCCTTTCTTCCACTCCCCTCTTTTCTACTCTCCAGGAAGATGAAAGAAGCAAGAGGGGGACCGTACTGCTCTCCCTTTCCAGCACACACGCACCCAATGCGTTCGTTTTTGAGTGTGTGTGTGTGTGTGTAATCCTATTTGCGCCCAAAAAAATTGAAAACGATGAAGGAGAAAGAAAGAAAAATCCAACAAAGAAGCAAAAAATCCAAGCTGCGCTGCCTCCGCTCAGAGCAGCGCAGTCGCCAGGTTTATCTAACTCACACACACACACACAGCAAGACGAGCCATCGGGAGACGCTCTCGTGTGCTCTCTCTCTCGCTCTCTCGCGCCTCGGCTGCAGATAACTGCGTTCGCTCTCGCGGGCAGAGACGCCGGCAGCACGGCGGCAGAGCGACGTGCGCTTTTATAAATACTACTCGTAGATACATCTACCATTCGATTTTCATCTGCCGAAACGGTTGCGCTGCGGCTGCGCTCAAAACAGAAACTCGTGCGCGGCGCTTCAAAAAGCAGAGTAACCAAAAATCATACAAACCAAACGCAAATATATATAGCAAAACATAAACAGAATTTCTCAATTCTACTACTAAAACAAAAACGAAAAACAAACTAATTTTTTTTTAAGTTCTTAACCACAAACCATTGGGAATTTTGGAATACCTAAGCTTAAAAGCCAAAGAAGTGTGCAAAATAAAGTGAACCCAAAAAGTGCTATCAGAAATATTATCAATAAAAATAAAAACGAAACTTAGAAACAAATATTTAAAAGCAAAAGCACCCACTACCACAAAAAAAAAGGCTCAAACAAATTGTTTAAAAAAAAGGAAAACGAATCCGTGACAGTGCAAAATCCGGAGTTGGAATGCCGTCGCAACTTTTGACAAAAATTTAACAACAAAATATCCACTAAGGTAATTTTTTTAATGTGTTTATTTTGAATGGAAGCATATTAGTCGACCATTTTTTGTTTTTGTGCTGTGTGTGAGTGTGTTTGTTATTTTTGATGGCCAATTAAACCTTAAAAATATGGATTATCTGAGGAAATATTTGGATTAGATCTTGGGGTTGCCTTTAAATCAATCAGCTTTGAAACTTTAGACAACGATCTTAATTTACCTAATAATTGACAAAGAAACAGCTTGTGAACACAGTTGAGAAAATAGAACGATTTGCAGACGTCTTAAGATTGGAAATTCTCCGGCTTTATAGTAGATACAGATCTACATTTGTTTTAAACACTATTCAATCCGTAACACTTTTAATAATCATACAATTTGAGTACGTTCTAATTGAGAATCCTGGCCATTGGCCAACCCCTTTCTCCGGTTTATTTGGGTCAAGTTCTGCCTGCAATTAGCAGGGTCAAAAATTACCCATGACCAATGCCGAAAAACCCTTGAACTTTAACACACAGTCCGAGTAGAGGCGAAAATGCCCAACATTCGGGGATGATGAGACCCCGTTTATAGGGTTTTTAATGCAGATTGATGATCTGTTTAACATCATCGGGGTGCCAAATGTCAAACGGTTCACTTCACTTCGCTTGATTTCGTCGGATGTCGATTAGAAAATGTATATTTTCGCTGACCACAACTCGTTCATTGATCATTTTTGAGGGTCATAAAGGTGTGTGTTAAAAAAAAAAAAAATCGCCTACCGATTCCCCGCCCCAAAAAAAGAAATATTCGAAGGGAGCCTTTATCTCAATGACTTTTCATGACTCACGGCGAAATTGAAATCAGCCAACCAAAATGAAAGGCCAAACCGAAAGCCAATGGACAACAAACAACTAACACACATCCAAAAAAAAAAAAATCAACAACAACAAATCATATATATATTTAGCGAACAGTGGGCTCGTTATCGGTAAAAAATTTTGATCAGCCTCTGAGGTTATTTTTTTTTTTGTTTTTTTTTTTGATTTCGGTGGGAAGTTAGGATTTCCAAATTGATCCAAGGAACAACAACAATTGGGACATTACTAATAGTCATAGCCTTGATAACGGTAAACGGTAAACGACAAACGGTAAATGGTAATGAGCGTGCCCACATTTCTCACCCACACACATGCAATCATTGGAAATTAGATAAGAATAGAATAACAGAATAGCCGCCAGATGCGTATTAAGTTCGATTCTTCGCACCTTTTCTGCGGATGCACTTGCAGAATTCGAGAATTCTTTCTTACTGCCATTTTCCGCGAACAACGATTTCAGAGTTTCAGTGTTTACTCGCTTCTGTTTCTAGTAGCATTGTTTATTTTGCCCCAGTCTCGATCGATCAGCTGTTTGTGGCGACTCGAGATTCGAGATTCCGTGTTGAATTACCCGACATTCGAAGACTGGGGAAGCCGCTCGATTTTCAGGCGTCTGTTATTAATTGAGATTTCGAGGAGAATTCGATAAAGCTAGGCGTAAATAATCAAAGAAGTTTTGAAATCAAAAGCTTTGTTGAATTTTGCGCTGTTTATCTTTAGTTTTCTAAACTTTTAAACATTTAAGTATTGAATTAGGTTCTACTAAATTTCAGTTAGTTGTTTACTTGGATCGTTTAAGATTTGAACAACACTTTTCTAGCTGGTTTCATGTATTTATTATTATATTTGATATAATTTATCATCTCAGCATCTGTTTATAGTGTTGTTAAGTGATATTGCATGCACTTTTCGACAACCCTATGACCTTTTGCAGATAAGGCCTCACTCATCCCTGTTTTTCGCCATTATTAAAGCCCCGTGTTCTTGTTCTTTTACGCTTCTTTTTTTCCCAACTCAGCTCAGTTGACAGAATCTTGGTAAAAATGCTCGCGGCACAGCAACAACAGCAGATGGGCAGCAGCAGCAGCACCAACAACAACAACAACAGCAGCACTGCGGAAACGGAAATGGAAATGGAGCGACAACGCAGGGACTCCACCACATCGGAGTCCTCGTTGGAGCACCTGGAACTGGGACGCACACCCAAGAAGCTGGGCGGCAATGGCACCACCACCCAAACCACATCCACGCCACACGAATTGGCGGCGACATCGCGCAAGCGCAAATTGCGTCAACTGCAGCAGCAGATGAATCACCACCAGGATTTGCTCAGCGACGAGGAGGATGAGGAAGAGGAGGAGGACGAGGAGGTGTCCCGCAATCTGGGCAGGCTGCACAAGCAGCGAAGGGGTGGTGGTGGTGCTGCTAATGCCACCCAGGCCTCCATTGTGGTTGACTACAGCAGTGGCGATGCCAGTTCGCTGCGCAAGAAGTTCCGACTCAATCGCTCAGCGGCGGCCAGTCTCTCGGAATCGGGATTCGTGGACGCCAGCAGCACCACTGGCCACAGTGGCTATCTGGGCAACAACAGCAGCAGCAGCAACAGCACCACCACCACCACCACCAGGGAAGCTGGCAACCACAGCAGTGGTGCTGCTGCGGTGGCGAATGCATCTTCAGCTGGAAATCCCGCTGTCTCGAGCAGCAGCAGCAGCAGCAGCAGCAGCGGCGGCGGATCTGGTGGCTCCTCGCCCCAGGGACTGAGCCTCTCCAGCGGCGAATCGGGAATCGGAGCTGGGGATGAGCACATGAAGTACCTCTGCCCCATTTGCGAGGTGGTCTCGGCCACGCCCCACGAATTCACCAACCACATCCGATGCCACAATTACGCCAACGGCGATACCGAGAACTTCACCTGCCGCATTTGCTCCAAGGTGAGTCATTCTACCTCATTAAATATAGGGGTTCTACTTCCCTGGAAGAGATTAGGGTTCCCACTTCACGGGGGTCACTCCCAGGAAGTCACAAAAAAAAAAAAAAAAAACAAAATGGTTGTTCAATTGTGATAGATTACCTAAAGCATTCAGATCCAATAAACAATATTTAAATTTTGAATTTTAAAGAGATAAACAATTTTAATTGTGATTAACAACAATAATAACAAAGCCTTTACTTTTTAGTATTCATAAAATGAAAACATATGTTTAAACTGAAGATAAACTAATTACAAGATTTAAAGGTTAACTAGTGGTCATTCAATTTTTATTTTCATGTTATGAGAGTTAAAATAATGTTTTGAAAACCTGATTTAAAGAGTAATATTGAACATTTCCTGACTGATTTAAATATATTAATTATATTTATATTTATAAATATTAAATATAAATATATTATATAAATTTAAATATTATAATATATGTATATTAATATATCCGATCATCGTTATTATCAGTTTAATGTAACTATAAATAGTAGTCATTCAATTTTAATTATCATGATATCACTGTCGAATTAACGTTTTGAATAACTGATTTGAAAAGTATTATTGAACATTTCCTGACTGATTTAAATATATTAATTATATTTGTATTTATATATATTAATTATAAATATATTATATAAATATAAATATTATATTAAATTAATATTTCCTATCATCGTTATTATCAGTATAATGTAATAATTTATTGATGGCGAGTGACCCTTTTTGACTTTTTCAATTGCTGAATAGAATTCTTTTCTTTTGGTGATTCAAAAATACTATTAGGGGGGACCCCTTCCACTTTGGTAGCCCCGAAATGGACAGGTGTCCTGAGTCCATCCCCTCCTCAACCGCTTACTCACCTGTTCTCCCTTCTCTTCCCCGCTCTCTCTACTCCCGAAATGAAAACAGGTGCTCTCGTCGGCATCCTCGCTGGACAGACACGTGCTGGTTCACACGGGCGAGCGGCCCTTCAACTGCCGCTATTGCCACCTGACCTTCACCACCAACGGCAACATGCACCGCCACATGCGCACCCACAAGCAGCACCAAGCTGCGCAGTCGCAACAGTCGCAGCAGCAACAGCAGTCGCAGCAGTCGCAGCAACAGCGACGCCAGCAGCAACAGTCGCAACAGCAGCAGTTGCAACAGCAACAGCAATCGCAGCAGCAGCAACTCAATCCCGCCCAGCAGCCACTGGTGGCCACCGCGTTATCCGGTCGAGCGGAGAGCTACGAGAGCGATGCCAGCTGCTCCACCGATGCATCCAGTGGCCACAGTCGCAGTCGCAGCACCAGTTCCCTCATCAACAACAACCACAAAAACAACAACAACAACAACAATTCACCGCACAAGACCAACAACAATCTGAAGCTGGAGGATCAGCTGGACGAGGTGGATGCAGTGGAGAGCAAGCAGAGGCGTCTCAAGAAGACGACCATCAACAATAATATAATTGATGCATCGGAGCAGCCGGAGGAGATCGACGAAATGGAGGATGAGATGGAGGAGCAGGAGGAGGAGGATGCAGATGCGGATGCGGATGTGGCCATGCTGACCAGCACACCGGATGTGGCCACTTTGCTGGCTGGAGCCAGTGCCTCCGGAGCGGGCTCGCGATCCGTTTCGCCATCGCCATCGGAATCGAATAGTTTGCTCCTGAGTTGTCCGGTCTGCGGAGCCTCCGAGTTCGAAACGCTGCCCGCCTTGTGCGCCCACCTGGATGCCAGCCACTCGGACATCCCCGCCAAGTGCCGCGACTGCGAGGTGATCTTCGCCAGCCACCGCCAGGTGCAGGCGCACTGCTGCCGCGGATCCGCCGCCTCGATGGGAATGGGCAGTGGTTTGCCGCCGCTCCTGGGAGCCAGCAGTTCCCCCTCCATCAGGACGAGGCAGGCGAGGATGGGGAGGAGGAGGATGAGGAGGAGCTGCTCGATCGGAAGGAGCGACTGCATCACCAGAGCGAGGACTTCTTCCACCAGCTGTACCTCAAGCAGAAGATGCCCATCTCGCATCCCCCTTCACCGATCAAACACGAACCGGCGGACAGCAAGGATTTGGCGGACATCCAGAGCATCCTCAACATGACCAGCTCCAGTTCCAGTTTCCTGCGCAACTTCGAGCAGTCGGTGAACACACCCAGCTCCAGTCAGTACAGCCTGGATGGTCGCGACCAGGAGGAGGAGGCCCAGGACGCCTTCACCTCGGAGTTCCGCCGGATGAAGCTGCGCGGCGAGTTCCCCTGCAAACTCTGCTCGGCGGTCTTTCCCAATCTGCGCGCCCTCAAGGGTCACAACCGGGTGCACCTGGGTGCAGTGGGTCCGGCGGGACCCTTCCGCTGCAACATGTGTCCCTATGCGGTGTGCGACAAGGCGGCTCTGGTGCGGCACATGCGCACCCACAACGGAGATCGCCCGTATGAGTGCGCCGTCTGCAACTACGCCTTCACCACGAAGGCGAACTGCGAGCGGCATCTGAGGAACCGGCATGGGAAGACCAGTCGCGAGGAGGTGAAGCGTGCGATTGTCTACCATCCCGCCGAGGATGCTGGCTGTGAGGATAGCAAGTCCCGCCTGGGCGAGGATCTCGCCGATCTGAGCTTCCGCTCGATCAGTCCCACTCCTCCTCCGCCTCCGACTGCCATCAATGATTCCAGCAGCTCCCAGCTGAAGCACATGCTCCTCGGCGAGAACTTAAATCCGGTTAACCAGCAGCCACAGCAGCCTCCGCTGAAGATCCAGGTGAAGAGCCTGGACCAACTGGTGGACAAGAAGCCAACTAGCAACCATTCAACGGATAAATCCTCCGCTGCCCTGGACTTCAGCATGGATGTGCTGGATCTCAGCAAGAAACCCAATGGAGGTGGAGCTGCTGCCGCTGCCACGCCCTCCGTGACGCCCTCGGCGAGTCCCTCGATGGGCATTCCCGCTGCCGCGGCAGCAGTTACTCCTGGTGGTGGTGTAACCACTCCGGATTTGGCCGCCGCCTTGGAGCAGCAGAAGTTGCTCCTCGCCCAGCAGCAGTTCTTTGGCGCTGGCGGAGATGCCGCCTCCCAGTACATGCAGCAGCTGTTCCGCAGCCTGATGTTCCAGTCGCAGACGCCAGGGTTTCCCTTCTTCCCCTTCATGGCGCCACCACCGCCTCCACCTCCGCCACAGCAGCAGCAGTCGGGAGCGGAGAAGACTCCTTTGGTGAGTCCGCCCAACCGCTTGAATCCTTTACCCATCAATGTGGGTGTTCCCGTGCCACCTGGCGGACCCGTGAAGATGGTGATCAAGAACGGAGTGCTCATGCCGAAGCAGAAGCAGCGACGCTACCGCACCGAACGACCCTTCGCCTGCGAGCACTGCTCGGCGAGATTCACGCTCCGCTCGAACATGGAGCGCCACGTGAAGCAGCAGCATCCGCAGTTCTACGCCCAGCGGCAGCGGAGTGGCCACCACGTGATGCGCGGCCGGGGTGCCTCCTCCGCCTCCTCCACCAGTGCGGCAGTGGCCGCTGCAGCGGCAGCCATGAACCAGGGCGGCATCCAGGGAGGCATCCAGGGATTGGGGAGCTCTGCAAGTGGTTCGCATCACGCTCCCATTTCGGAGCAGGTGAAGTACGCCATCCTGGCGCAGCAGCTGAAGGCGCACAAGAACACCGATCTGCTGCAGCAGGCCTTGGCCCACGGATCGAGCAGCGTGGCCGGTAATCCCCTCCTGCACTTTGGGTATCCTTTGGCCGCTCCCAGTCCCCTGCACAATGGCAATCATCATCCGTCGGTGCCGTCTGTCAACATGGCTAATGATGATGATGAGCCCAAGCTGGTCATCGATGAGGATGAGAACGAGCAGGAGGATCATGAGGATCACGAGGTGGAGGAGGTCGATGACTTTGAGGAGGAGGATGAGGAGATGGAGGAGCAGGAGATAGAGGAGCCTGAAGAGGAGCAAGAGATCCCTCGCGAGGAGGATCAGGGAGCTCAACCCGCTGAAGAAGAGGAGCTCGAGGAAAGGGAACTCCCCAAACCGCTGGAGATGATCAATGGAGCATCGAAGGAGGCCGCCCAAAAGATGGCCGAAACCATTCTGGAGCAGGCCATCAAGGCGGGCACCAAGCCAACCAGCTCAACCAGCAATCCCAATCCCACCACCACCACCACCACCAGCAACTCCTCCATGCAGGAGCCACCACCATCAACCACAACCACTGGCAATCCGAGCACCCTGAAGACCATGATTGCCCAGGCGGAATCGGTGGGCAAGTCGCTCAAGGAAGTGGCCAGTTCCCCATTCAAGGACGAGTCGCAGGACCTGGTGCCAGTGGCCAAGCTGGTGGACAACGCCACCAGTCAGAACATGAGCTTCAACAGCTACTTCCGTCCCAGCGACGTGGCCAACCACATGGAGCAGAGCGACGAGGAGGGTCTGGTGGCCTCTGGGAGCGCCAGCGAGAGCAACAACAGCGGCACCGAGGACGTGACCAGCAGCAGCTCCTCCAGCGAACCCAAGAAGAAGTCCGCTTACAGTTTGGCACCCAATAGGGTTTCCTGCCCGTACTGCCAGCGGATGTTCCCGTGGAGCAGCTCCCTGCGTCGCCACATCCTCACGCACACCGGACAGAAGCCCTTCAAGTGCTCCCACTGCCCGCTGCTCTTCACCACCAAGAGCAACTGCGACCGCCATCTGCTGCGCAAGCACGGCAACGTGGAGTCGGCCATGTCGGTCTACGTGCCCACCGAGGATGTCAGCGAACCGATTCCCGTGCCCAAGTCCGTGGAGGAGATCGAGCTGGAGGAGCAGCGCCGCCGCCAGGAGGCCGAGCGGGAGAAGGAGCGGGAGCTGGAAAGGGAGAGGGAACTGGAGCGGGAGCGGGAAAGGGAGCGGGAGAGGGAGCGCGAGCTGGAGAAGGAGAAGGAGCGGGAGCGGGATCGCCAGCAGCTCATCCAGAAGCTGGCCGCCCAGATGAACGCCGCCGCTGCAGCAGCTGCTTCCATTGGAAATGGCAATCCCAGTGGCGGAGGAGCAGCAGGAGTGGCTGGTGGAGATGCCCTGGCTGGCGGAGATCTGCCCTACAAGTGCCACCTCTGCGAGGGATCCTTCGCCGAGCGATCGCAGTGCTTGGAGCACATCAAGCTGTCGCACACCCACGAGTTCGCTCTGCTCCTGGCCAAAGGAGCCATCGAAGCATCATCATCAGATGGCTTGGAGGCAAGCAACCACCAGTCCACTGCCCCCCAGTCCACCCATTCCGATGACGAGGCACCCAATGGCAACGGGAGTCGCGGCAAGTATCCCGACTACAGCAACCGCAAGGTGATCTGCGCCTTCTGCGTCCGCCGCTTCTGGTCCACCGAGGATCTGAGGCGCCACATGCGCACCCATTCCGGGGAGCGGCCCTTCCAGTGCGACACCTGCCTGCGCAAGTTCACCCTGAAGCACAGCATGCTGCGCCACATGAAGAAGCACAGCGGTCGGGCCCATGGGAATGGCGACAATCCCGGTTCGGATTGCTCCGATGACGAGCAGGCGATGATGGGCAGTCCACCCAGTACCCCCGTTCCCACTTCGCTGCCCCTTCCCATGCCCACCAACAACAACAACAGCTGCCACAACAACAATAACAACAACAATAATACCACAAACAATGGTGGCTCCAAGGGATTGGGACTGAAGCTGCCCAAGCTGCACGAGCTGCTGGACAAGGCGAGCGAATGGCGCGTGGCCAGTCGGCTGGGCGAGCACAAGGAGAACATGGGCGAGGCCACGCCCTCCGCCGGCGGAGTGGGAGTGGCCGGATCGGATCTGATTGGCAACCTGCTGGGGATCAGCGACCAGGGGATCCTCAACAAGCTGCTCTCCTCCGCCGACGAGGCGGCCAAACTGCTCGGCGTGGACAACAAGTGAGGGATTTAGGAGGGATCTTAAGAGGGGAAGCACAGAAATCAGAAAGCCATACATTCTGGAGCAGCAAGGATCAGTTTGCACCGCCTTACGTATACCAAAGCTTAAATAGTTTTCATTAACGGTAGTCTACTTTAAAAAACAAACGAAAAACCAACAAAAACGAAGTCTAAACCTAAAAAGAAACACTTCTAAAAACATCTCTCGTTCAGATTTTCAAAATGAAAAACGAGTTATGTTTTTTGGGAACACCCTTATATTATTTTTTGGACACCTCCTTTTTTTTATGCCAACTCTTAATTTAAGCGGTCCAACCAACAAAACCAACAAGCTAATCAAAATCTTTGGAGACAAACACTTTTTTTTTTAAAACCTTTTTTTTCCTAGCTATAGCATATAGTTTATAAATATAGTTTACCATATTAGCTCTAAGTAGCTGCAATGACAAACGAAATACAACGAACATTTAGCATGACAAAAAATATAAAAAGACTTGAAGACCGAAGACAAAAGACCAGATATATAGGAGGTATAATATCTATATGTACATTGAAAGAGGCCTTGAGAACCGCAGCGTGGCTTAAACCTAGTTTTTTAAGGAAGACGGCAGACATTCTGACAGTCTGTCTCGCTTGCAACTAATATATAGTCAGGTATTTTGTAAGACTAGATTCTAGAACCATTTTTTTGTAGGATCTTATTTAACGAAACTCATTCATTGCTGTAGTTTAGAGATCACAAACAAACAAACAAACAGAACACACAAAACACACACTTATGATATGAAATATATAGTATAGCTATTTAAATATACGAAAACGCATGATTCTTATATTATTAAATTAGAGGACTTCTTACAGCAATAACCAAAGCATTTCGCGTTTGTAGCGTTGTTTAAGCTAAACGAAAAATAAACGAAATTAAATTTACCCAATTGCATGCCTATATATACATTTATATGAAGCACACACTACATTATATAAATTAATCGGTTAATATTTAATGTGGATGCAGCAGCAGCAGCAGCAGCAGCAGCAACAAACTACTGAACAAATTAAACTATGTACTTAGCGATTATGAATGTACTTAAACTGTAAAAGTGTACTTAATTGTAAACTCTGAAAGACACACGCAACGAGAATGGATTACAAATTGAATTCAAATAAAATAACGACGAAAGAAACAATAAAACAAGTTGCTTTTCATTTTTACGCTTTATTAAAGAAAAAGTGAACTAAAAGAATGATTGGCTTATCATTTTATGGAATAATAAGGTTTAAATGTGGCGCCGACAGTGTGCCCGTTTCTCGACAAAGCCAAAATCCAAGGCCCAACAAATAAAATATAGGAGTATGGCAACACTGTCAAATACGCTTTCATTCAATGGCAGTCATTAATTCCGTTTTGTTTTATTTATTTAATTTAAAAACGTTACAAATTTTGTCAAATGCTGGTTTAAAAAAAAACAAACATAGTTAAATTTGTTTTTTTTTTTTGAGGAATTTACAGGGTAACTCTGCCCTTCGATTTTAAAATTCAACATTTCCTATAAACTAAACCAAACCTAATTACGAGGTTTAACGATTGTCAACCTATAATAATATTAAGAGATATCCAAAATAAGAAGCCTAACAACTGGCAAATAGGAATCTAACTGGTGGGCTGTAAACTGGGTGTTTTGGATTCGTGTTAATCTATGGCTACTACATTTCGATCTTCGCTAGATGATTGTCCTGCTGTGATTTAGCGATAGCTGTCCGTTGGCCACGCGACTCTGAAGGCGCTGATGAGATAAGGGTAATGGGAATAAAAAAAAATTGTATATACATATGGGGAGAATAAAAGATGCACTTACCTTGTTGAAAACATCCCGCATCTTGCGGTTGCAACGACGTCTTCGTTCTTCCTCCCGGCGACTTTGGGCGGCCAACACTTCCGGCAAACTTTGGCATCGCTTTGTGGTCAGCGCTTTCATTTCCCTGGTGGTGAATATCCTCAAACGTGCTGCAAGGATTGTAGAAATAAAAATAAAATTAGTAGATAAAAGGTCCTTCTTTTTAAAATAATCAATTAAATATGTACATGGAAGTTCCTTCTTTTTATAATATTCAATTCAATAAAAACATGGAAGTTCCTTCTTTTTATAATAATCAATTAAATAAGTGCATGGAAGTTCCTTCTTTTTATAACAATCAATAAAATAAGTAAATGGAACTTCCTTCTTTTTATAATAATTAATTAAATAAGCAAATGGAAGTTCCTTCTTTTTAAATCAATCAATTAAATAAGAACATGGATGTTCCTTCTTTTTATAATAATAAATTAAATAAAAACATGGAATTTTCTTCTCTTTTTATAATAATCAATTAAATAAGAACATGGATGTTCCTTCTTTTTATAATAATAAATTAAATAAGAACATGGAATTTTCTTCTCTTTTTATAATAATCAATTAAATAAGTGCATGAAACTTCCTTCTTTTTATAATAATCAATTTCTGAGAACATTTCTTTATCTCAATTCAATGGCAAAGCAAACTTACAAGTGGCTGGCGGTGGCAGCTGGAGCAGTCGCCTGTCCAGCGTCTCCAGACTGGTGCTCTCGCCCAGCAGTTGGTCCAACTCCTGCCGTCGCACGTTGCGTATCATCTGCATTTCATTCAGGATGGCCTTGCGTTCCTTCGACTTGGCACAGAACTCCGGGCGTGCCAGCTGCAGTTGGTCCTGCAGGGAGCGCGTTTCGGGCAACACTTCACTGCCGCCCGTCGCCGTGAACTGGATGACATAGGCGATGGCCTGGGGACGCACCTGCAGCGTCTGTCGCTGCATCTCGACGGGATGGAGGATGGAGGATGCAGCCTTCCTGGGCACCCGCCTCACCCGCTGGCAGGCCACGTCGTCGTACTGGTGCGTGGTGGTCGTCGTCGTGGTCTCACAAGTGTTCACCATTCCCATGGGTATCGAGATCTCCGAACTGATGCACAGCATCGAGGAGGAGGATGAGCTGGTTGTGGTCGTGGTGGATCTTCCCATAGCCGACGTTGCGTTCTTTGCTTGTTCGATTCGTTCGTTCGGCAAACTCGTGGCCACCATGGCTGCCTGGACATAGCTCGTGGCATCCTGCGAGTTCACCACCTGGTAGTAGATGGCCCTCTCGTTGTCCGCACAACTGTACCCGGCACTGGCACTCAGGTGCGGCGGAGTGGCGTAGGCACTCCTCGTCGCCTGGGCGTACTGCATCTGCAGGTATTGCTCCTCCTCCTCCTGCTCCTGCTGCTGCTCCTCGTGTTGCTTGGGCCTTTGGTGTTGCTGCGAAAAAGAAAGGGACGGAGTGAGTGAAAGGAGGAAGGAACTGCAGGAAGGATGATATTATACCGGACAGTGCTGGCGATGATGATGGTATATTCCCTGCTCCTGCAGCTGCTGCTGGTGGTATAGGTTTTGCTGCTGGATTAGCTGCTGCTGCTGCAGCAAGAGCAACTTTTGCTGCTGCTGGTTTTGGTAGTGCTCGCGGAACTGTCGCTGCCGCTGCTGGACGAAGGAGCAAACGCTCTCGCTGCGGGCGCCACCGCCACTGGAGGAACTGTGCGAAACGACGAGCACCGGCGTGTCCATCTTCTTGCGATTCTGCTGTGGCTTTTGCTGGTGGAGATGCGGCGGTGGTGGCGGTGGCGGTGGCGTCGGTGGCGACTCAGAGGTGCTCATGGATGTGGTGGGCACGGGAGGCAGTTCCTTGGGCGGCACTCTCACCGATTCAATCCTCACTGGCGGTTGCGGAGTTCTCGATGTTCTCGCTGTTCCTTGGATTTCTTTTCCCTCCTCCTGACCACCGCTACCCCTCTCCGAACTGCTTGGCAATTGCACCGAAGGCACCGCTGAGATTAGCTTATCCCCGGGACAAGACGATCCCTTGTCCGTTTCGATCTGCACGGTGTTGTTGCAGCGTGGCAGCGGCAGCATGGTCATCGCATCGCCCAAGAGCTTCTGCAACGCCTGCAGGCGTCGGATCTCCGTTTCGATCCAACCAAGCTGGTGCCTTCTCTCCGAATCGAGGCCTCCCCGCAGGCGCTGCTCGTACTCGATCTCGCTCTGCGTCATGGGATTCAGCCACTCCTGCAGATCCGATGGCTCCGCATCCGCATCTGTGGAGGCGGCCTCTCGTGTGGGAACATTGGTCTTCTGGGTGATCACTTCGTGGGAGGCGCTGGTTGAGCCGCTGGTGGAGAAGCTGGGGGGAACCACTGGTGACGGTGTAGTTCCAGTAGTTCTACGCTTTCGAGGAGCGGGAACAGGCAAAGTGGAAGCCGAAGGCTTGCTTTTTGGTGAGTTTGGCGGAGCCGTTTGTGTGGTATTCGTGGCCACATCTTGTCGCTGCAGAGGAGGAGTTGCCCCTAAAATAGGATTTAATTAGTAAGGAATACTATTACCTTAATGATTCACCCACCTTTACCCTGCTCCTTTGAGTTCGACGAGTGATTGCTCTTCAGGGAACGCAAACTGCTGCTCGATTCGGCCAAATCCAGACAGGAAATCCGCCTGGCTATATCCTTCACTAGCTTCTTTTTCTGTCCTTGGCTGAGACTACGGGTTTTAACCAGCGAGCACAGCAAATCGATGCCCAGATCCAGTTCCCCACGTGGTCCTCCTGCAGATTCCATTCCAGCGGAAGAGGATGTGGATGTGGAGGCGGCTGCGTTGCTGGATGGGTTTGCTGGTTTCGTTGGTTTCGGTGGTTTCGGTGGCTGCTGGTTCTCCTTGTTCTCGCGCCTTCGGCTGCTCAGAACCTTCTCGAATTGGGCTGCTGTATATTGACGCTCCTGTTCGCGTTCCTTTTCCCGCTGCTCAGCTTTTCTTAGCTCCTCTTCGAGCTGCATTCTCCTTTGTTTCATGTATTCATCCCGCTTCTTTCCAACTTCATCCAGCTGCTGGTTTTCTGTTTCTGTTTGTTCTTTTTGCTGATGGTCCTCCCTTTCCTCCTGCACCTGCTGCTTCCTTTTCTGCTGCTCCTGCTTGGCCAACTGCTTCTCCTGCTCGTCCATGTGAGTATGGTAATCAAAGCTACTGGCCGCCGAGCTGCCGTACAGCGAGGAGCCCTGCGATTCCCGCCGTGAACTGGACCGCGAATCGCCCAGCCTTGAGCTCATCCGTGATCCCATTCTGGAGCTGTTCTGAGAGTTGAGCCGGGAGTCGTCTCTTTTGTAACTGCCCAGGGATTCCCTTCGCGAGCCGCTCATCGAAGCTCTGAGGGAGCTGACCTGCGAATCTTGAACTCGACAGCTTATCCGTAAATCCTTTTCTTTTGTGGAATCTTCCTCTTTGTTCCTGTTGTTCAATGAAGCTTCCTTAGTTTCCTCCTTCCTGGACTTATCTTCTTTCGGTGAACTAATTTCTGCAGATTCTTTGATGGAACTCCCGCGACTGGTTTCATTTTGGGAGTTACTATGGGCAGACTCCCTTCTTGAGCTGCAGCGGGAATGCTTCTGCTGGGAACTAGCGCAAGAATCCCCCTGCTTTAAGCCACTTCCGGAAACCTCTGGCGTGTCGTCCTTCCTGGAGCCCAAGGAACTCGCCAGAGAACCCAAACCGGAGGTGGAGCACTTGCCGCGTGCACTGCGGTTGACGAACGTGCTGGAGGCCAGTGGTTGCGTGGGCTTGTCCTTCAGTGGCGAAGGTTCTTCTGCCTCCGCCTCCTGTCGCTGCAGTCTGTCCAGATCCGTCTCGGATCGCTGCTGGATGGGCTGACGCCAGCCACACTCCTCCAGAACGGACCGCTCCAAGGTGCTGATGTTGCTGGTGGACACTGCCCGCTTGTAGTAGCCGACATCCGCCGCTGGATCCCATTCCAAACGCTTGTGCGACTTTATGGCAGACTCTGGTGTCTGGGTTTTCTTGGTGTGCATCTCCTTGGGCGGCTTGGTGGGCGTCCTCAGATCCTCCACGGACAGCGACATGGTCTGGGTGGCCGCCACGGGTCGCAAACTCTGGCTGTCGGCCAATATAATGGGTATAATGGTGTATTCATCGGGTTTCGACTGGATTTTTAGTGTTTTTTGTGGCTTAGCCTCCTGGGAAATGGGTATATTGAGGGGTGGTGAGGGTGGTAGCTTCAGTAGCTGCCCCTCTGCATCTTCTTGCCCTGCTGGACACTCACTACTCCTTATGCGTCGCCTGTGACCAGATCCTGGCCGAGATCCAGATTCCTTTGGGGGACAGGTGATTCCCGGCGGAAGGATGGCTGCCAGGGCACAACTGTTGGTGCTGCCACTCGCCCCACTGCTCGCCGTTGACGAGAAGGCCATGAAGCGTTCCAAGTCCCGATCCTCCGCCAGTTCGGTGATATATTCCCTGGCTTGTGGAGGAACGCGCGATGATTTCGCCGGCTTGCGATGTCGCGAACTGGACATCTTCTCGATTTTAGGAATCGCCTCACTCGGTCCTCAAGGATTAACCAGTTAATTGTGTAGCTCTATGTCAGTTTTGCTCGAAGCGAATTGCGTTCTGGGGAATTGTTTTCAAACGTTAAGGAATTTCGAGCATTGTGGCAGTGCTGGTCAACTCTCAATGTTTTCGGTGTTGCCCAGGACGCCGTTAAATTAGGTAAGGCACTTCAGGCGATAGTTGGGGGTTTTAATTCAACGGTTTTTTAAAAATTATCTATTCTACAGGTCAGCTTTTTAGTTTCAATAATTTATAAGTTAAAAAAATATGCAAAAATAGTCTATGTTAAGCCGACACATAACAAATCAGTCAGTCAAAAATAAAAAAGTTTCGAGACATTACATTTACAGAGAAATTACATTTAACTTTAACAGTAACTATCGATAACAAGTCCTTCCTTCCCTAGTGTAACCGGTTCGTGAGCAGTGCTGGTAAACCGTTCAAACGGTTCCAGCTGCCCGAAGGATTTTCAAAATGGCATTTTGTATTGTCGCTCGTTGTTTATAATCGCTGCTTGCTGTCGGAAAAACCCATTTAGCCCTGTTTAAAAATAAGTTATCAGTTTATAGCAGAGCAGAGTGATTAAAGAGCCAAAGGACAATGTTGGAGACCAAAAGCATAGCTGCTTTGCATTTTTCGGAGACGCCGCGCAAGCGCAAAAGGGAGACGCCAAATAGGAATGCTGCCCCGCCCCCGAATCTACAGCAGCAGCAGCAACAACAACAGCAACAACCCCTGGAAAAGGACGCGAAGGTGCGGCAGGATGCAGCTGTCAATCCAGCGGAGTCCTGTTTTACCAATGCCGCTTTCAGTTCCACGCCCAAGAAATTAATCGGTCGCCGTCGCTTGGCCAAGGAAAATAGTAATCCTTTTCCCGGTTTGGAGGTGAAATCCATTTCCGATTTGGCTGTGGAGCAGCAAAAGCAACAGCAGCAGCAACAACCACAACAACAAACGCTGCCCGTTAATCCCTTCGAGGTCCTGCGTCAGCCGCCGAAGAAGAAGAAGCGCGAGCACGCCTGCTTCGAGAATCCTGGCCTGAACTTGGAGCTCCCAGAGAAGCAGTTCAATCCCTATGAGGTGAGTTTGGTTGATATTTTTACCATTTTTATTTTAGTTTAGTTTACTATAGTTTAAGTACAGTTATTGCTCAGCTATTTCTTTAAAAACAGACATATTAACAATTAAAATAAAATTCATATTTCATAATTCATTTATATTTCAAATTGGGTTAGCTTAAGATATAGAGTATTATAATTTATTGTTGTTTGCTTACAATATTAACAGTTAAAGTAAAATTAATATTTCTCATTTATATTTCAAATTGGGTTAGTTTAGTACCTACATATGGTATTATAATTTCTTGTTTATTATTATTGTTACTATTATGTATATTTAAAAATGTACTATTCTGTAATACATATTCGAAGTTTCTGCACTCCTTGTGTTTTTTGCAGGTCATTCGCTTGGCAGCAACGCCCGCGAAGGGATTCGTGAATCCCGGCCTGAATTTGCGCGGCAGCGATGCCCCGGCCTCGCTGAATCCCTTCGAGGTTCATCGACCCAGCGAAATCGCAGAGGCGGCCTGCAATCCGGAGGGCGTGGCCAATCCAGCGCTGGCCGACAGGGATGCGGAGGAGCCGCTGCCCACCAGCTTGAAGATCGGGCTGCCGTTCACTCCGACTCTTGGGTGTCGCATCGATTTCCACGGGATGTCGCTGGCCCAGCTGACGCCCAGCAAACTGCTGGCCGAGAAGCTGGTCTTCTCGCCCGTTCCGGCGCCAAAAAGATCACTGGGTGCCATCAGCGAGGAGTCCTCCTCCATGGATATTGGCAAGGAGCTGGACCGCTATCAACTGGAGCTGGAGAACAGCATCAACGAGGCGAAGCTGAGAAAGAACGGCGTGCTGGTGGACAAGGAGCTGCCCCGGAGAAGTCTGGAGGTGGAGCTGACCAGGAATGGCAAGGTTTCTCTGGTCATGGAAACCGATTCGCAGGAGCTGCTGGTGCAGGAGTTGGCCAAGGGAGAGAGTCAAGTGGAGCGGCGACTGGTTTGCACCAGGAGACGCACGCTAACCGAGATCAGCGAGGCTCCCGAAGCGGAGGAGGAGGAGGAGGAGGATAGGGAGCAGCTGCTGGAGGAAGATGTGCAGGTGGAGACGGAAACAGAGAAGCTGCTCGAACAGGAGAAGCGCCTGGAGCAGGAGATGCTGCTCGAAGAGGAGCGGCACTTGGCACGGGAGAAGCAGTTGGAGCAGGAGAAACTCCTCGAGAGGCAGAAGCATCAGGAGAGGGAAAAGCTGCAGGAGAAACTCCACGAGCAGCTCAGGGAGAAGCTGCAGGAAAGGGTCAAGCTGTTGGAGAAGGAGAAACGGGAAGAGGAACTCCTGGAGAAGCAGAAACTGGAAGAGGAACTCCTGGAAAAGGCAGGAGAACCCGAAGGCGATGTGGCCTACGCTTCGGAGTCCGACGAGGAACCCAACGACCTGGACTTCAAGGCTCCCGCCTCCCGCTTCGTGCGAGCCTACCGGCCAGCGGGTCAACCCACCAAGGCGGCCAGCAAGGAGTCCCTCCACTCGATCGCCTCCAGCAAGTCCTCCAAATCGGAGGAGGTGAAGCCCAGTGGCGGTGGCATGAAGGGCATGATAAGAAAGTCCATTCGCCGGCTGATGCATCCCACCCACACATCGCCTGAAAAATCCGATGAGAAGGAGAAGGAAACAAACAGTCACCACCACAACATAATCAGCTCCATTCGGCACAGCCTGCGGCGGAGGCCCCAGAAGTCAGCGGATGCGGATGCCCAAATGGAACCCGTTCTCGCGGACATATCCATAATCGACACCAGCGAACGGACGATGAAGCTCCGCTCGAATGTCGCCCAAACGGAGTACATGACCATCGAGCAGCTGACCAACGAGAAGAAGCACACGCTGAGGAACAGCATCCGGCGGTCCACGCGGGACGTCCTGCGTCATGTGTTCCACAAGAGCCACGATGCCTACGCAACGGCCAAGTAATGTGGCTCCCATCGGTGTGGGAAAGGCTTTCGAGGGATTAAAATAGGTTCACAAAAAATTCAGATAGGCCTGAAAAGTATTTCATGATCAATTTTTGAGACTCTCTTTTAAAAGATGGCATTATTACAATATCTTCTTTAATACAATACCATTAAGATTGTTTTGCTTTGGTCCTGAGACTCTCTTTTAAAAGAAGGCATTATTAAAATCTCCTTTTCTTTTAATACAATATCATTAAGATCGATTTGTTTTGGTCCTGAACCTCTTTATATTTCTGTTATGTTACCCTTTAATTAAACTTTTTCACAAAGATAAATGAAAAGCTTAGAAAAGGCAGAACCCTATCCCTACAAAGTCGACCCACTCCGCCAAGTTATTGACTTCTTAGAAAGCACTTCTTTTTTAGCACCTAGTTAAGTTTTTCAATGCACCCAAAGATTGTCACACAAAACCAGCAAACCGAAAGGAAACATATTTTCAACTGAATAACTAAATCCATCTGGATTTTTATCGAGATGGATTGGTTTTATCTAGCTTTAAGTTTTTTTTTTAACTTTAAAGGGAATTCCCTTAAAAACCTGCCGCAAATTGAATCACACAATGTTTTTAATGTTAAGTTCTTGATGTTTGCACGTTTATTCATATATGTATGTTTCTCAAATGTCTTTTTATATATGCATATTAATATATAACATTTACACAAACTATTTGCAAGGTGATTTTCTACATATTGAAAGGACGCAATAACAAACGAAGGATTTAAGGATTCTTAGAAGATTATACAGAAACCTTTCATTTAGCTTAAATAAAGGGAATACTTAAACTAAAAGTTAGGCAACAGTGCAATGTAACTGATTTTTTACGATCTAGAGATTTTTCTTATAATATTTAATTTGATAAATTTTATTATATTTATTCATTGGGGAACACACTTTTGATTTATTTAAGAAATGCTTTCATTTGCAAATGTTTTACTAATTTTAGACAGAAGAAGTTTCAACTTAAAACCTATATAACTTTTTAAATTTCAGTAGGTAACAATTCTTAGTTTAAAGTGGTCTGAAGTTTACTTTTAACTTATTTCCTATGAAAATGTTTACTCTAATTTAATGGATTTATACTTTTCTTTGAATTAGTTGTGGTAAATGTTGGTTATTAATTATAGTTATAGTTTATAGTTATTTGCAAGTGATTCCATTAGTTCTCAGCAGTTTTTCAAGTCGGATTAAATTGGAAATTCAACATTGGGGGTTCGAGTGGCATTAGCTATTTCTAATTTCTATTTGTAGACAGGGGTTGGGAGTTCCAAGTCATGTTAGCTACTTCTATTTGTAGACAGTTTGGAGGAGCGGACGCCTCCGCTGGTCGATCGGCTTGTAGGCGTGCTGGTAGACGCTGGCCAAACGCCAGTGCTCCGGATAGCCGCCCTGTCCCGCTCCGCCCGCCTGGCTCTGGAACGGCGGCACCAGCGTCTCGATGTCGTAGTTCTTCTTCGAGTACGGCTGTCGGGGGCGTGGCACCACCAGCACCCTGCCCGCTCCACCGCCCCCGCATCCGTGCTCCAAGCCCACGAAATCCCCGGTGGCATTGTGTTTCGGCACTCCGGCCCGAAAGGCCGCCTTGCTGGTGAGGCAGTGACCATGACCATGACCTCCGTGACCTCCGAAGGACGGTGGACAGCAGCGGGGAGCGGGAGCCACTTTATGGCAGAGTCGACGGGCGGGACGACGCAGCAGGACGTCCCGCTTGCAGGGCGGTCCGCCCGATGGCCTGCAGTTCATCGGCGACTGGCAATCCTGTCCAGAGTCCGGACCCAAGTACTTCTCCCTTAGAGCTTGGTAGGTCTTATCCCCCAGCAGCGGAGAGGATTGGTACTGCTTGGCCAGTCGGTCGGGCATTCCGCGACCGGGCAACTCTGCTGCCAGGTTGCCAAAGCTAACGCCGCCGTTATTTGGTCCTCCCAAGCCGGATGATCCCCGCCTGCAGTGCGCCGCAGAGGCACTGGAGTCCCGGGAGACACTGCGTGCCCGCTGCCGCGATGGCGGCGAGTAGTCGCAGGCGCAGGGATCCTCTCGATCCAGCCGCGCTCCTCCAAAGTCGGTCCTCTTGCGCAGGATGTCCTTGTCGAAGAAGTCCGCCTCGCCCAGTGTGCTGGTGAAGACGCCAGCGGAACGTCCCAGGTCCGAGGACTGCTCCTCGCGCGGCGTCTTCACGCAGGTGAACACAGCCGGTCCGGCGGAGTCATTGGAGCCATCGATGTGCCGCGCCAGCCGCGGTTCGTCGGCGGGATTCGCGGGCTTAAAGTCCCAGCAGATGGCCAAATCCATGGGTCCCATTTTCTTGGCCGGCGCAGAGCCCACACCCCGAAAGGGATCCCCGTTGCCCAGAGCTCTGGGCACAATCCCACCGCCCGTCTTGGGGCGGAACACCTTCATCTTGGTGCAGTGCGTCGGGCCGGCGTTGTGAGTCTTCACGCCCACGCCCGTGGCAATGGGATCGATCTCGAGTGCGAGACCCGCATGGCCGCCGGAGATCTGGGCGCGTCGAAAAGCCAAATCCGCAACGCAATCGGGCAGCGGCTGGTGGTCCAGGTTGTCCTGGTGCATCCGCTTGGCCAGCTCGAAGTTGGCATAGGCCGGAACCACCGGCGATGGGCAACGTTCGTTGGGCTTCTCCGTGATCGAGTGCAGCGGCATCTTCTTGATGAGATCGGGCGTTGGGTCCGGATTCGGATTCAATTGTGGCACACCCACCGTGGGTAGCGAAATGAGATCCTTGCCGTGGTCGAGGACCGAGAAGCTCAGATCGCTATTCCGTTCCAAGTGATCCGCGTAGCGATTCTGGGCAGCTGCCAAAGCGGGAAACTGTCGTCCCGCCGAAGATCCAAGTTGTTCCCTGTACTTGATGGGCTGTGTGTCCCGAGTGTCCAGCGTGAGACGCCGCAGGGCAATGTCCTCCGCGGAGTCCTGGCGACTCTGGTCGAGGAGCTGCTGGTGCGAGGGCAGCCGGAACTGGGGCTCCGTGAAGTCGCCGGGCGTGTAACTCAGTTCCGGAAGGTTGGCTGTTTGCGACATGGTTGGATGGATGGACGGAGTGGTTCAGTGGTTCAGTGGATCAGGTTCGGGTGCGGAATCAGGATCAGAATCGGGATCACTTATTACATTAGCGATTTGAAATCGAGATGCGAGTGGAGATGGGATGAAGATGAGAACGATGATGAGATGATATGGATATATGTACAATACAGATGGGTTTCAATGAGGTGAGTGAACTCAAACATAAGTTATTCAATTGTAGGGAAAGTATTGGAAACATTTTAAAACCTATTGAAAATAGAACAAGTTCATAAATCGAAATACATAATTTTATATTCATTAATTTTTTAGTCATTACTTATTACAACCGAAAAACCATTAAAAAACCAAAATATTAGTGATTTCTACCAAAATTGTCAACTAATTTTCCAAGTTTGTTCTTATCAACTAACTAAAGGATCAGTTAAATGTCAATTAAATTATATTAAATAAAATAGATTGTTGTCTTCTCTGTTTTTAAAAACTATACTTATTTCGGCTGAAGGTAATTTAAAATATGGAAAAAAATGATGACTGCAAGGGTATACTATATAGCTCCCTTTCTTGTTTTTATTACTTTTTACTTTTCTTGGAAATAATAGTGATATATATTCTTTCGTTTAGTATTGTAATATGTAATGCTAAATGTTGCCTGAGGGGAGGCGATGCTTTAATGAGAAAGCTAGTTCTTTACAAAAAGTAAAGTAATATATTAAAGTGCTAGTGCTTAGTAATTCTATTTAATGTGCTAGAATATTTGTTATTATTATTCATCATTCAAAACGTAGCCAAAGGTAAATTTATTTTCTCAAGTTTTAGAGGACATTTACGTATGGCACTTCGATCCCTTGCGTTCCTTATCCTTCTACTTGTCCTTGCCCTTGTCCTTGGCCTTGTCCTTTCCCTTCTCCTTGCTCTTCTTCTTCTCCTTGGTCTTCTCCTTATCCTTTTGCTTTTCCTTGTTCCCTGGTTTCCCTGCACTCGTGGCAGTAACCTTCTCGGCAGGTGGATTCGGCTTGTGGCGATTCTCATAGGAGACCATCGACTCATTGGCGTGCATCGTGGGACGACTCTTGGGAAATGCGGTCACCGTTCGCCTGCGACGCCTTTTATCGGTGGCCACGTTGGCCACCTTCGAAGCCTTCGGTGGCATTCTCACCGTCTTCTCGATCTAAGGAAAGGTGCAGGTGCAGTGGCAAGTGCAAGTGACAGTGACTGTGAAAAATACTCAGAAGAAAACCCCATAAAATTAATAAAACCTTTCTAAACTGTTGAACTTCTGCTTGAGCAACTGAATCACTTAGCAAATACTGACTTGGATGGAATCACTAAGCAAATATTGATTTGGATGGGTGTTCTTCTGGGTGTCTGGCTAACTAAGATCAAAGAAAGCAACTGCTTGGGTCACCAGGTGACCCAAGTCACCGACTCACCACCACTTCGCACTTGGCGCGCTTGCAGCGCTGACTCCGCTCGTAGAGCTGCTTGAGCTGCTCGAGGCCCTCGCACTTCGTCTGGCACTTGGGCCGCTGCCACTGGGGATCGCCCGGGTCGCCCAAGGTCGTCCGCTGGTCGCAGGCCAACGCCCGCCGGTTCTCCCGCTGGCAGCTGCAGAGGTCGCGCGGATATCCGGCGAACTTGTACCGCCCACTCAGGCAGGCATCGTAGTGGGCGCAGAAGCTGCGCGTGATCCGCAGCGGCAGCTCGTAGGTGCCTCGGTACTGGCCAAAGGAGTTGCCCTCCCTGGGGATGGTTCACCAGGATTTATATACAGTAAAGTGTAAGCAAATTAGTGGCTTTAAAAACAACTAAGGTTAGTTCTAAGTAATGGATAGCAACCAAAAGTATCTTGATCTTTGGGAATTACTTTTAAGATTACTAAATTTTAAGAACCTATTAATTTTTCCTATTGCTTATTGATTAACCAATTAACCTTTTAATAAAATGTAACCAAATGAGTGGATTTATTAAGCTAGAACTAGTACTTCCTAATCAGTAAGTACCTAATCAAAAGAATCTTGATCTTTACTTACTAAATTTAAAGAACCTATTATTATTTCCTATTGCTTATTGATTAACCAATTACCCTTTTAATAAAGAGAAACCATAATAAAGAGTAGAGGTACTAAGTAATGCATAGAAATCAAAAGAATCTTGTTCTTTGAGAATTACTTTTAAACTTACTAAATTCCAAATACCTATTAACATGTCCTATTATTAACCAATATTAATTAACCAATTAACCTTTTAACTCCGGGCAGCAGGTGTCCCCTCCGATCGGCCAAGGGCTTGGCGTTCTTCTTGAGTCCTCGTGGGCGGGGGGCGGCGAATCGCTTGTACTCCCAATTGTTGAGGCGCTTCGCATCGAACCTTCCCTGGAACTGCAATGAACGGGGGACATCGAAGTGGTTAAGGACGACAGAAAGGAGCGGGAACGGAGAGCTTAGCCAGGACTCGATAGACACCTGTTAGGAAAAGGCGCTCTCGTCTCGAGTAATTCCCTTATTTATGGTCCCCGGACAAACAAACCAATTGATAAAAAAGCCCACCCCGAATCCGCATCGAAGGGCGGGAACAACCCCGGAATGAGGAATCCGGGGGGCAATTACACGGCGTAATCTCTACGCCGGAACATGTGTAGAAAGGCATTTGTCTAATGCCACTTAATGCCCTGTTTGTGTTTGCCTTTCGAAAGTTAAGGCCATCGGCGTTAAAAAACGAGCCAGCGATCTTTAAGCCTGGGTCATTTATCACAAGGATTACTCATAAACAGGTATCGGAATAAAAAAAAAAGGAAAATAATGAAAGCATAACAATATGTCTGCAATTTATGAAAATGTTGTATCATTAAAAAGTTATTTTTAGAGCATAATAAAAAATATATAATAACGAGTTCAAAGAGATATTGATAAACGATACAAAGCAAGTTAATCTTTAAACTAGATAAGATATATATGATTTCTTTTCTAAATATTATAGTTTGTGGAATCAGTTACTTGAAGACATACACATTTTAAAAGACAAGCTTTATAGATACAATAATCTTTTTAAAGGCTTTTTTTGTTTTTTAGTTCCACAGTTCGATGATGAACTTGTTTCCAGTTGAAAATTGAATTGACCTATTTCAGTGGGGCTTTGTGGTTCAAAGGAGACTCTTTGAGGCTTCGAAAAAGAAGAAGTCTTCCCACGCGTACGAGTTTCAATTAGGAAATGCAAATGGCCAACCGCTGGTAACTCGATACCCGAGCCAACTGGGCTGTCAGCACTCGATTGCGACGAGACGAGAGACCTTGATCGATGGGTGGTGTGGGTGGTGTACAGTGGGTGGCACAATCGGTGGCTTGGGGGGAGTAACGAGGGCACACGTTCGCAGCGCGTGCCTCTCTGTTTGGTCCACCACAATGGAGATGTTGTCACTGTAATTAAATTTGCACGGCAATTACACAAAGCCAGTCTGTCTGTGCCTCTCAATTGAGGAGTTCCAGCGTGAAAAATACAAATTGATTTTAAACTCAATTAGCAACAAAGGAGCTGCCGTTTAACAATAGGGATTACAACACTTGGCCCGTTGCGATTGCGATTGAGATTGGTGCTGGGATCGAGTGGGTACGGATGGCACAGATACTATATATAGATAGATAGATAGTTCGCACCCCTTGGAAGGACGAGGTGGTCGGTCGTCACCCCTCCGAAGCGAAGCGATGATTTTTATGGCAACCCTCTGGGGTGCAATTTATCACATGGTGTCCTTGCAACTCGCATCCGCAGGATTAGACAGTCAAAAAGCTAGTTGGAGAGCACGTGCAAGGATGGATGGTCGGAGTGGAATGAGATCGGATGGGATGGAATGGAATGGGTGTCGCATCTCCTGCTGCACTTGTAGCCAAGGACTTACGGGTGGCAAAGGTCCTCCTACTCCTGCTCCTTACTTCCCTTTCCCGTTTCCGTTTCCTTTTGTCCTGGTCGAGGCGACAACCACTTAAGCTAATTTCACGCTCTGCCGCCGACTGTCCTTTGGTCAAAGGCTCTGTTTTCCTGCCACTTTTCCTCCGAATCAATTTCCCGAACAGCTGTCGACTTGGCCAATTGAAAAACCATTAAATGCAGCCACCGAGCACATCTTACTTTCAAATTACCAATCTTGTGTGTTCTTAACGAAATTCCTTCACCTCCTCAGCGAACCGATTCCGATGCGATTGTGTGTGTATATGGGAAATAACTCTGGACTCCGAAATCCAGTTGCGTGGCAATCGAAGGGGGCCAAAAGGCGAAAGGTCTGGTCCAAAGTTACCGTTACCAAGTAAATAAACTTTAACTGTCGCTATTTGCAAATGTGCAAGGGGCAAAAACAAAAAAAAAGGGGAGCGAGTGGAAAAGGTAACGGTAAACGGTACGGGATGCGTACGTCATTCAAAACAAAAGCCCCAACACACAGGCGACATGTTTTCGAAGGTGATCTAACCCGTTATTTAGAAATATAATGAAATGACTAACTAAATGAAGAGTTTAAATAAAATCAGGTTAAGTCTCTTTGCTCCTTATTTATTAATTTAAGAACGAGTTAAGTAAAATAAGTTAATTAAGCGCGAGGTGTTATACATAGGTTTACTTTATATTAGTTATATATGTACGTTCAAAGAAAACATTCCATGTCATGGACTCCAATTTTATCCATCACTATTGTCGCCTGTCTCTTGTTTTTGTTTATAGTCGTCTGTACACCCACTCCCATGGAAAACTCACTCAGACAGGGACAAACTGCAGACTTTCGGAATGCAAACGCCTTTTACCAGGAGAGAGGAGAGAAAAGGATAACGAGGGAAAGAGAGGGAACGTATCGAAATTGGTTGCCAATGCCACGTTGTTGTTATTATTGTTGTTATCGTTGCGAAAATGATTACGGGAACAGTTATATATATACGGATGTTTGTATACCGTTACCCTTACCAACCGAATTAGGCCGTTATTTATGGAAAGCTGGCAACTCTGGCCAACAGCCTCCCAACAAAACAAAAAGGCACAGGGTGTTTTTTTCAAGCTCACCTGCTGGGCGCTAAAGTTCAGGGCCATCGTGGAATTATTAATTTCGAATTTTGATTTATTTGTGAAATTTTTAAATGAACTTCAGTGTTACCTATTTATTTAAGTAGAGAGTGAGTCTGAAAACTGAGGCACAGGTGGCCCTGTTTTCAAAAGGGGGCGGAGCCTGGCGCACAGGATACTCAGGATACTGTTTAAAGGGGGTTTGGGGCGGTTAGCATCTGGCTTCTCCACATAAAACGTCCAAGCAAATGGAAAACTCTGAAACACCAGCTGAGGTTCAAACATCCAGACAGTCGTTGAGTGGAAAAGTTGAGGGAAAGTGCAAAAACACATAGCATAACTCACGTTCTGTTCACATGTATATTTATTCTTTGACTGGCTAACATATACACACAGTTTAGTTGGAGTATAAACAAATATCACGGCTTAGGAGCTAGACAAAAAAAAGTGCATCGATTAGGGCTAATTTTAGTATGCCTATTATTTAAGGTTATTATTATGGTCTAGGTTTTCTTTTATATATATATATGATACATGAAATCTCCAGAGTTTTTGGATACAGTTTTATATGCAAGCCCCTTTGAATTATCTAATTTACCGTTAACTTAACCACTACATTATTTAAATAAGCATATTAACCTTTGGTTAATGTTTTGAGTCATAGGTTAGCAGGTCATAGGGACTTGGATTTCTTTTAAAACCAATTCAAGTTTAAAACAAAACAAACATTTTCAAAATATCAAAATCGTTGGGGAAACGATGAGATTTTAGATATACATATATCTGTGTTCTGGTGTTCACCTTTTTGGTTAGTTAAAGGATATAGGTTAACTGGTCAGTTTATAGAGACCACTTTTCCAGACCCTTGATTATTTAAGCACTGAGTTTCGATCCTTTTCCTCAATCGCTGGTTAAGTTCTTGAACATTGGATGTAAGGTTGTAAGCCTTCAAATTGGTGTGGCAAAGACTTAGGTCTTGCTTGGTTGATCTCAGGATATTTACTGGATCCAGGTCAAAGGTCGTAGGTCAGCTCCCCCACCTCCTACGGGGGAGCGAAGAAATTGGCCTCGTTAAAGAGGCAGCTGGTGGCGAAACTGGAGGCGCCGGCGCTGTCTCAGGGTGTCTCCAGCACGTGATTCAAATAGGCAATGTAGCAGATGGCCAGCTTGAGGATCTCGATCTTGGACAGCTTCTTGTCCGGCGGCAGCGTGGGCAGCAGCTTGCGCAGCTCCGCAAAAGACACATTGAATGCCTCCACACGGATCCTCTCCCTGGTCGCATGGGCCGTCCTGTACTTCAATGTGGCCCGCCGCCGGCGACGCCTTTCCTCCCGCGACAAGCCCACCAGCTCCGAGGGATCCAAATGGGCAATGGGCGTGGTTCTACGCCGTGGTGCCGGCGTGGGCGGCGGAGGCGGCGCTGGTTGGGCGGCCGTCTCGCAGGCCATTCGCGCCTGAAAACGCTTGTCGATGTCCAATGTCGTGCTGGCCGCATAGTCCTCGCTGACCAGGTGCGGATTGTTCGGCCCCACCATCTCGTCCTCGTCGGGCAGATAGTAGCGACTGAGGGAGATGCTCTGCGGCGGACCCGCCGCCATGTGCGTCATATCGTAAACCATCCTGGACACTACGGGTTTCCCAACTTGACGGGGGCTCTTCTCTTCGAACCGCTCGCGATTGCTGAAAAGGAAGTAATGTCCACATATTAAGTAAGCGAATGTTATAAATACTACTGTTCGATACCAATTCCAACATTCGTATCTAACTTCTTGAAAAAAACTTGACAAGTTTCACAAAAGGTGACCCCAAACTGAACTCTCAGATCGCAGTGTCCACATATTTAGTTTGCGGGAGTTTCGAAGACCATTCGATATCAATCCTAACATTCGTTTCCCACTTCTTAAGAAAAACTTCACAAATCTCGAAAAAGGTGACCCCAAACTAAACTCTCAGATTGCAATAATTAAACCGAATCCTAAACCGAATCGTTTGTAGTTCATTTCTCAGAAAATGTGCATTTAAATTGTTCATATTGCTGAATATTTGTGTTTTTACATGACAGCTCTTAAAAAAAAGCTGTAAATTAAGAATAAACCTGCAAACCCCCGAAATCAAAGAGGCTGTTTCTGCATTATTAATGGTTCATTTGTGGACATTTGTGGTTAAGGGTGTGCGAGTGTGCGAGTGTGTCGCCCTTTGGCAAGGACACACCCCTTTCGGCATATGCTGTTTGCGTTTGCTATTATTGTTATTTATTTTTATTGTGCTTATTGTGTTTATTGTTTATTCGCAGCATATTTTCACACCTACACAAATAGCTGAACAATCGGCACGTTTATTTGCCCGCGGGAGTTCTCAAACCTCAGAAATCGTAACCCCAACTCGCAAAACCGAAGGGCCCTGAACCCTTTTGTGTCCCAGTTGTTGCGGTTTTTGAATGATTATTTATAAATATATTGATTTAATGGGTTTTTCTGAAAAGTCGCACAAATTGCATCAAGTCGAAGACGTGAACATTGCTCTCTTGGGTTTTGTTTTTGTGTAAGGGGGGAGTTGGTGTCACCGAACCTTTGGAAATCTAATCTTGTTCAAGGAATCTGCGGCAGTGACCATTTAGGATGTTGCCTAAATCTCTAGAGATTCTGAAACTTTTTACTCGGGCCGAAATCTTCACTTGCCACTAAATTTAAATCTTCACTTAAACTTAATTTTAAATAAATATCAATGTGGTTAAAAATCCTTTTTCTCAAAAGGTTTTATATTAATTTGCTATTCATACTTTTTACAAACTTCCCAGCTTTTTGGTATATTAAAGTACTTAAAAAAAATGAAACTTACAGCTTTTACAGGTGCAGGGTATTCCTAAATTCTTGGCGAAGCTCGAAGATATCCTGGGCTCTGCTGCTCGCCTGATGGACACACAAATTGAACTGACTTCCGGTTGGGAAGCTGCAGCTTCCTTTATAGCGAAAATCAACACAACCCTATTCTGTGAAAGTCAACCAATGCCGAATAAACCACCCTGGCTGAGGAGCGCCAATTGTAGCCAACAAAATGGCGGTTGTTTTGCAAAAGACCGCCCCTTTTCTTACCAGATAAACCATCCCCTCAGGATGCTGTGGCACGCAAAAGGATTTGTTCTTTATACTTGTTAAATGATTTTTTCTATTTTTTTTTTTATTTTGATTTCAAATTTTAAATGTTTAAGATTCAGGCGGACAATACTAAACATTTTTATGAGTGCATAATTTTTAAATAAAGTGCGCGCCTTCTTAACAGCTCAGTTTTGCAGATAACAGAAACCGGTTAACATACGGCAATAAGGGTAAGTCTTTAGTTAGGGTCCAAAGAAAAAAACTAAAGATAGAAATTAAACAAATTTTAACTCGAGTCTTTAAGAAATTTATCGGTAAAACTAAGTTCTTTGGTAATTTATAAATTTAAATTTGTTACCATTTAACGGTTAACATTTTCTAACTTAACAGCGCCATACTAACACACCTTGCTGTCTATCGGTATATCGATACATTTTTGTTATTGTATTTCATAACTACCTCGCTGTGTTTTTTTATTTGCATTTCGGAAATAATTAATAAAAATAGTAAAATAATTAATAAAAATGAACATTGGAAGGCTTCTTGCACCGCTTAGGAGTAACACGTGGTCGGTGCGAAGCTACGGAAAGCATAACAAAAAGTTTCTCTATAAGAATGGCCAGAAATTCGAGGGGATTACATATTATCCCCGGTGAGTGGTACTGAAGAGCGACCAACACACGGCTTTCTGATGAAGAATTTTAAAATTTCAGGCACCCAGATCACCAGGACCCACCCATAGAGCCCGCCAAACTATTCCGGGTGCAGCGCATCAAGCCGGTGAAGGGCAATCCCTACTGGGAGAAGCGAATCCTCAAGGATCTGGGACTCGATGGCAAGCAAAGCGACTTCACAGTGGTCAAAAACATCCCGGAAAACAATGCCCGCCTGTGGAAGATCAAGCACTTGGTCAAGGTCACCCCCGTGACGTTTCCCTACGGAGAACCCAGTGCGCAGGATGTCCGACACACGATACTTAAGGAGAACGGCGAATGCCTGGTCACCAAGGATCTGGGACCCATTGAAACCCGCTTGGCAGCGCGCCAGGAATACGATGAGCAGCCCAAACGACTAGACACCGATCTGCTGCGCAAAGATGCGCGCCTCAAGTGGCTGAATCCTTGGTAGTTTGGTAGCCCAATCACTTTAATGCTTAAAATATTTTTTCAAAAATACAAAACCTTAATAAGTCTAAGTCTTACATCACGGATTTTATAACTACGAATAGTTGACGGCCACCGCCACCTTTTTCTCCAGCGTCTTGCAGCCCGAGATGGCAAACAAGCCGTGAGTGCGATCATAACTTATGGACGTATCGATTATATCATCAATGAGCTTCTTATTTTTCTGGCTGTCGGGATTGCGATCCCACCTCCAGAACTCCTCCTGTAGGCAGCTGAGCACATGCGACTTCTCCAAGGGCAGAAACGGAATGTAGTGATCGATGACATGCGATTCGATCATCGTGGTTTTCTTCATTCCGCCGTCCAAATTGTAGGCGGCCCTTTTTAGCAGCGATTCGTAGTCACTTAGCCGTGTGTCCTCGCGCAGCTTACCGCCCTTCATTAGATTGCCTAGGTGATCGGCTATGTGAGTGCCGGCCGTATTTGAGAGAAAGATGAAAACGGCCTTCGTGTTGTCAGTGCCATCGGCAAAGGCGTTGTAGTCTACCAGCGAGGTGAGCGTATCGAAAACGCCGCTGGGCATCTTGTCCACCTCGTCGAAGATAAACAGCGATCTCGGGCATTCGTGCAGCTTATTGCGCACCTCTCGACTGATGCGCGCCTTGTAAGCATCCACCATTCCTGCCTGCGGGAAGTCGGCCTGGCCCAGATACTTGGACACGAAACTCGATTCGGAACCCTTGAGGTAGAGGGCCTTGGCAATCTGATCGGCCACGAAGTTCTTGCCCGTTCCGGGTTGTCCGTGGAAGCTGATGACCAGGGGCTTGCGCGATGTGGACCGGCTTTGAAAGTGGGCCGATAAAGCGGGTATAATGTGCTGCGCCACTATGTGCTGGCCGAAGAGATATCGATTCAGGGAAGAGCGCAGGGCTGTCGGGGGAATTGTATGCTATATAAAACTGCATTAAGATGTACAGTGTTAAACAATTACCTTCGATATTTGCTGGAATGCTCCGGTCATCGCAGCACTCGGTGAATTTGCAATAAGTGTACTCCTTGAAGTACGTGCCAAATCCGACGGCCCCGAGACCTATGGCGCCCATTGTCAAGGGCTCGAAGGCTTCGAGGGGCAGCGGCAGGATCAGCAGGAGGCTGAGGCACAGCTGCAAAAAGGATAACCAGCGCATCATAAATTTTTTTTGGTTTTGTGGATCAATTCGTTTATGTCGCCAGTATGACCGAACCTTTGGCGGCCTGGCAAAGCTCTAATTTCAGTTTCGCCCCATCGTTGTTATCGATAGAAGCGTATATCGCTGACGGTGCATCTCTGGTTTCTGGCAAAAAAAAAGAGGCATCTCGTTTTTTTTGTGAAAATTGTCGCAAGCATTTGGAAAGTTGGCACGGTAATTGGCTTTCCGGAAAGAAGACGTCACGAACCGGCAAGGATACCCAGCCCAGCGAGTCCTGTCCAGGACCAGCGCATAAGTCCAGATCAAGCGGTGTGTGCCGCAAGCGCGTTTTTGTGCCGGTGGCCAAAGGAACGCTTCGCGTTTTAAGTTACAAACTCAAATTGGACCAAAAGTTCGCCGTAAATTCACGGAGAGATGAGTCGCCGAAGAGCACATGACACGGAGGACGAGGGATATGGTGAGTCAATGTCGAAGTAGAATCCCCAACAGTCCTGACAACCGGTGGAATGCCGGAATGCCTTGCAGATCACCGGCGCAACAAGCGCAGGCGTGTGTCGGAGAACCAGGAGATCGAGGATCGTCTGGAGTCGCTCATCCTGCGTGTGGGCGAGCGTAGCACCTCGTCCGTGGAATCCAATCTGGAGGGACTCGTTTCGGTGTTGGAAGCCGATCTAGGTACCTTTCGCCTCAAGATCCTGCGCATCCTATCCGATTGCGCGGTGCGAATGCCCGAAAAGTGCACCGTTTACACCACCTTGGTGGGCCTGCTCAATGCCAAGAACTATAAATTCGGCGGAGAGTTCGTCGACCACATGGTGAAAACGTTCAAGGAGTCGCTGAAGCTCTGTCGCTGGGATGCCGCCCGCTACTCGCTGCGCTTCCTCGCCGATTTGGTCAACTGCCACGTCATCTCAGCGACGAGCCTCCTCCAGCTGCTGGACACCATGATCGACGTCTCGAACGAGGACACAGTGCCGCAGGTGCGACGCGACTGGTTCGTCTTCGCCGTTCTGTCCACGCTGCCTTGGGTGGGCCGCGATCTTTACGAGAAGAAGGAGTCCGCTTTGGAGTCGTTGCTGCTGCGCATCGAGGTCTATTTGAACAAGCGCTCCAAGAAGCACCACAACGCGCTGCGGGTGTGGTCCTCAGATGCGCCGCATCCGCAGGAGGAGTACTTGGACTGCCTGTGGGCGCAGATACGCAAGCTGCGCCAGGATAACTGGGCGGAGAAGCACATACCGCGACCCTACCTCGTCTTCGATTCGATACTCTGCGAGGCGCTGCAGCACAATCTGCCCACGATTGTGCCGCCGCCGCACCACGACAACTTTGAGTATCCCATGCCGTGGGTCGTCTACCGCATGTTCGACTACACCGACTGTCCCGACGGTCCCAATCTGCCGGGCGCCCATTCGATCGAGCGGTTTCTGATCGAGGAGCACCTGCATCACATCATCGAGACGTACCATCACGAGCGCAAGGACTGCGCCGCCCAGCTGCTCAGCTTTCCGTTCAAGCACAAGATACCGCTGGAGTACTGCATCGTCGAGGTGATCTTCGCCGAGCTCTTCCACATGCCCACGCCGCGCTACCTGGACATCTGCTACGGCTCCATTCTGATCGAGCTGTGCAAACTGCAGCCGGCCACGCTGCCGCAGGTGCTGGCCCAGGCCACCGAGATCCTGTTCATGCGCATCGACTCGATGAACACGTCCTGCTTCGATCGGTTCGTCAACTGGTTCTCCTACCATCTGAGCAACTTCAAGTTCACGTGGTCGTGGGACGAATGGGACAGCTGTCTGCTGCTCGACGGCGAGCATCCGCGGCCCAAGTTCATCCAGGAGGTTCTACAGAAGTGTCTGCGGTAGGTTATTTCTAGCTTAAGTATCAAATCTTCAAGAAATCTAAGCAGACCTGCAATATCAACCTGTCTATTTAATGATTGATTTCCTAGAAGAAAAACACTTTATTTTTCAACTTGACAATGGAATATTATTTAATATTTGATAAGCATTTAGAGGTCGTGAAAAAAGATCATATAAATAACATAAACCCTTAGTTAATATTAAGTTTAGGAAAACAGAAAGGAAAAGGAAATGAAATGAGAGTTCCTAATGAAACTTTCTAATAAGGAAAGATGAGTGCTTTACCTATATAAGTAATATATATTTCCTTATTCTCCGGCAGCCTTTCGTATCACCAGCGCATCACGGAAATGATGCCCACGACATACGCGAAGCTGATCCCCATGACGCCCGTGCCCAACTACAAGTACGCCAACGAGGAGGCAGGTGAGTGGTGCACATCCTCTTAACTTGCGGATCACTTGAGTTTATTTTAGATTTAGATTTGAGTGAGTGAGCTTACGACTAGTCTTACACTTAGGAGTATATCTGGGGTGTTCTCTTTCTCGTTTATTGTTTATTGTTTACTGATTTGGTAGCGGCTTCACCTCGTTCTCCTCGTCGTCCACAATGATGGGTATCTCCTCGCCGTTCTCGCCCACCTTGATGCTCACCGACCGACTGACCGACTTCTGGGTGAGCACCTCCACCACCTCCTTCTGCGGTGGTGCAGGTGCGGGTGGTGCGAGGGGCGGAAGTGGTGCACCTACAGTGGTTAAGGGGGGAGGAGTTTGAGTGGTGGTGGTGCTCGAAGTGGTAGTGGTGCTGCTGCTGGCGAAGGATTCGTGGCGCAGACTGCTCTTGGCCTTGCTGTCTTGCTCCTTGCGCCGCTTGGCCCACTTGCCCAACGGTGGCTCCGTGCTCGTGGACGTGGTGGTTGTGGTCGATCGGCCAGCGGTTATCTTCGGGGTGGTTCGATAGCGACTAACGGTCCTCAGTGGACTGAAGTGCGTGGAGGTGGACACGAAGGTGGCGCTCGTGGTGGGAATCTGCGGAATCTGGGTGGTTCGCTCCCTAATGGTTGCACTCTCAGTGGTTGTGGTTGGGGGTGGTTTAACTGTGGTTGCTGCACTGACCGCCACTTCTGGTTGCTTCAAGCTGCTCACCCGCTTTTGATCCTTGCTTCCTCCCTCTGGATAATTCTGCTGCTCCTGATCCTGTTCCTGCTGCTGCTCCTCTTGGAATTCCCCCGCCTCCTGCGGTTGCCTTTCGGGCAGCACATCGACGGGATTCTGGTGGACATACAGGGGATCCGGTTCGGAATAGCGATAGACCGTCTCCTCCAGCGGTTCGCTCTGCACGAAGGACTTGTCCTCCTCCTCGCCACTGGCACCACCACCCGCGTAGATCAGCAGGGGCGGCAGCTTGGCCGCCTGGAACTTGGACGCCTGGCCATAGATCTGCGGCGTGCGGAGCAGCAGATCCTGCTCCTGTTCCTCCAGCGACTCCGAGGAGCCCGAGTGCGAGTGCGAGCTGGGGAATTGCACGGTTTGATGGGCGGGATAGAGACTACCAGGAGTTGGATGGCTCGTTGGTGGAGACGGACTGGGGGGCAGGCGGTAGCCCAGCTCGGAATGCAGCGGGGAGGAGTCACCATTGCCACCAGGTGCCACATAGAAGTGGTGGTGGAAGTGATGCGTCACTGCACCCGTAGTGGCAGGCAGTGGTTCTCCGGGATTCAGAGCCCCGTTAACCAGCTCACCGTTGTGGCTGGGGAACCTCTCCGGAATCAGCTCTCCAGGATGCGCATTGAACTTCAACGCAGACGGATAGTTGGGCCGAAAGGTCGTGGGCGCCACGTAATTAGGACGCAGACCGAGATTAAAGAGTCCCGGAAAGAGTTCGATCTTGGGAGCTCCTCCTCCCTGGGGAACTGCGCCCTTCAGGTACTCACCAATATTGAGTTTCGGAGGCGGTGCTGGCTGAAAGATTCCATGGACGAAGGTGGCCTGCGGTTGCTCTGCATTCCCTGAAGCTGCAGCATACCTTTCCCGATCCTGCCGCCTCTGAGCAAATCCAGAAGAGGCGTCGTGTGTCAAGCGGCCAAAACTCGCCGGGTAATCGGATTCCTTTTGGATGTAGTTCATCATCTGGCTGTGCGGCTGCCAAGAGTTGTAGTTGTTATTCTGATTGTTATTGTTGCTGTCCAACGGCGTCACACTGAACTTCATCTCGTAGTGATAGCGTCGTCCCTTGTCCTCGCCATCGCGATGACGGATGCGCTGCACCTGCCACAGAGCGCGTCGCTGGCCGGGATTCGAGTTGGGGCACTTGAGTTGGAAGCAAGTGCCGCCCTCCAGGAAGCGAAAGGAGGAGCCATTGCCCGCCGCTCCGCCTCCGCCGGACGGCAGCTGCTCCAGGTAGCCCTTCGCCAGGGTGACGATGTCACCGAAGCGCGAGGACGGCGATCCTCCAACGGAAGATCCTCCCTGGACATCAGCCGGAATGTAGGGCGTCTGCAGGAAGTCGTGGTACTCGTGCAGCTGGCTGTCCAAGGATCAAAACTTTACACCCGGAACAAGACTGCTCTTGGATGACCTACCTCAGATTTCCAGCCGCTGCTCCAACCGCCGAGTCCGTGAAGAGTGTGACATAGGTGACGTGCTTGAGGGTTCGCTCCCAAGGACGCTCCGCGGTGCTTCTTCGTTGGTTCTTGGCCCGCTCCTCCGCAGGCTCCTCGTAGAATATCCGCTTGCCCGTCAGCTGGTGTCCGGGCTTCGGCGTCAGCAGGAGATCCCTTCCTGCACCCACGATGGCACAGCAAAGGGGCAGCTGCAAACGATGCAAGCGATGGGAATTGTGAAACTCGCGAAACTTCATTTACAAGAGCTAAATACTTTCTTCATTCTTTATTTATTTTTTTTAAATTATTTTTTTTTTATTATTATTATTTTTTTTTTTTACTGCTTGAATTGCATTAAACAAATGCTTAACTATATTATTGAATCTAATTACAGTCAACGTTTCTTTTCTTTGTGTCTAATTCCAATTATTACTTTTACTTGTCACCTCCAATTGATGATTGATTCCGCTCAACTTACGATTGCCAGGAGGACAGCAAGTGGCCAGCAAAGACTCCTCATTGTTTAGGATCACACATGAAATAAAAATATCAGCACAAAACAAAAAGTAGTCACCAGAAGCACTAAAAACAAAGTGGAAAACAAATGGAAGCCCGCAGATGGTTTTTCGAATGCGTTTGAACTGCGCGCGCTTGAAAAAGCGACTGAAACGCGTCCGCCAGTTGCGCTCGCTAATAATGCGCGATGAAGTCTCGAGCTAAGCTACAGCTATAGCAGCCATAGCTTCTGGGGCTTCGGTAGCTTCTGTGGCCATCGGCAAGAGTCTAGCCATCCGGCAGATACGTAGATACGAAACTCCAAGCTGCTTTCGTTGAGGCAGCCAAGCGATGCGTCGCCGCCGACGGAGGTTTTTCTTCTTTTTTTTTTTTTTTTTTTTTGCGCAATCTGCAGCCAAGAAGACCCATGTACATATGTGTGTGTGGTGTGTGTGGGTGTATGGGTGTATGTGTTTTCCTCGATTTTCGTTTTTCTTTAGCTTTTTGCATAGTTTTGGAGTCGTCGCAGCTGGAGTCGTCGGCATTTATGCAACACATTCGCTTGGAGGGCGGACCAGCAGCCACCTTCCAAGACAAAACACACAACACCCAACACACAACACACACATGTGTGTGCGTGGATGTGGAGCACGGCTGGATACCCTCCTCAAAACAATGGAAGTCTTCGAAAACCACTGGGAAGTTGGTCATATTTCAAATGCTTACCGCACTTCTCAAAAGACCCATTAAAAAGCATTCAAAGATTTAAGTGCTTGAAGAATTTGTTTGGGTGCCAAAACAAAATGGATTCTGGGAAGTTTCTTGTATTACTTTTAATTCAAATAGGGTTTTTAAAAATGTATCTATATTCTTTATACCCCAAATTAATAATTCAAAAACTTTAACCATCAAAGTGTATAAGATATTCCATAGTTTCTGGCTTAGATCTTTTTGTGCTTCTTGATTTTGTTTTCATTTTGGCTATAGCCTCCGTTTAAGCCCAAACCTTTGCCTTAGATTTCCATTGAGATATGAGTTGTGGTTCGCTTGGCTGGAGTTTCCCTTTCAACGAACCCCTCCTCCTCCACCTCCTCCTCCAAAAAAGAAGCCCCCACTTGGGGCATTCTCTTCTGGCGGTTCCGTGTGTCGATTTCACCTTGCCAGAGTTCTCTGTCTTTCCTGTTCCGAATCCAAATCCGAATGATGATGACCCGATGCAGATAAAACCATTCAAAAAACATTGAACTACAGCCGAGCGCGAGTTTACGAAAGTACTTCCCCCTTTTTTTTTTTTTTTGGTTGCGCTCAATTTGAGCTGAAAGTCAGATTCCCGTGAAAACATCTTTAATTCTGGCTTTTAAGTGAAGCCATTTGAAGGCGATGGAACGGATAGTCGGGGTGTGTTTGGGGGACTGCGGGTCGCACATAAGCTGTTATTACTGTCAGCTAAGCGTATGTGCGAACTTTTCCAGCTGAAAACTGAAAGACAAAAAACAAAAACCACCGCATGATCTTGACACATGCAAGCTCCCAAACCATTGACATTGTCTATAGATTGTTGGCACTCTTCGGGATTTCGAAGCTAAGGTTAAACAGCTGCTTAAAGAAAGGTCTTTAAGAATGCGTTACAAGTTACAAGAGTTCTTTAAAAGATCTGCCTGCCTGGAAATTATATAACGCAAATTAATAATAGGATTTATCATCTGAAAACTGATTCGTCCAACGATTCCCCATTTTTTCCCTCCTGAATTCCCAACTCTTTGTGGATTGGGCAAAGGAATTGCGTATTGGTTAATGCATTGACTTGCCAAATGGCCGCATAATTAGCTCCTCCGCTCGTCCCCCGAAAAGAAACCCTTTCCCTGCTCGATCGCCACTTTGACATAATTGACGTGAGTGCCAATAAACTGCATGTAATCCGGGGAGCAGGCGGGCGAACTGGGAGGCAGGTTGAAGACGGGGTTTGGTCGGAGCAGAGTCGTCATTAGTAACGCACCACGCAGTGCTCGACTGTTCGGTGGTCCCCACCACAGTGCCCGCCGCTTGTGTGTGGATGTGGTGCCGCTTGGTTCCACGCCATGAACCACATAACCAAGCAATGAAATGCGAATTGCAACGAAAGTGTCACCTAACTAGAGACACTTACTTGGGAGCCCCATCGACGAGTTGTTTATCTACTGAGAGGAAATGAATAAAAGTATTCAAAATTAATACATATTATTTAACAAATGTAAATAAGTTAATTATGAATTGGAAAACAGTAACACAGCTTTTTAAGAATTCAAAGGAGCTCCCTTAACTATCTTTAAATTGATTAGTACTGAATTAGAAGGAGATAGCACCATTAAGTAATGGTTAACATTATATTTATTATATTCTATTATATATCAGGCTTAATTTATTATAAATATATTTGAAATATTCTTGATCCGAAACCAATATACCCAGAAACACCAAAGGCAAACAAATTATCTGAATCATTTCCTCACTGAAAACTCTCCACCCCTTTCTCCCCGCAAAACAGCAAGCTTGCCGGGCACAACGGTGGCCCACCAGCTGGTGGTGGCCATCCGGCAGAAGTGCACGCCGGAGGAGGTGGTCAACATCCTGAAGGACATACCGAGCAGCGGCTACAGCGGCGAGGAGATGTCCGACGGCAGCTTCAATGCCTTGAAGATCGATGTGTTCGTGCAGACGCTGCTCAATCTGGGATCGAAGTCGTTCTCGCACAGCTTCGCGGCCATCTCCAAGTTTCATTCGGTGTTCCGTGCCCTCGCGGAAACGGAGGAGGCCCAGATCTGCATCCTGCACAACATCTTCGAGCTGTGGTCCTCGCACCAGCAGATGATGGTCGTTCTGATTGACAAGCTGCTCAAGCTGCAGATCGTCGACTGTTCGGCGGTGGCCACGTGGATATTCTCCAAGGAGATGACCGGCGAGTTCACCAAAATGTATCTCTGGGAGATCCTCCATCTGACCATCAAGAAGATGAACAAGCATGTCATCAAGCTGAGTGAGTTTTGTGTGATATTTATATTAAAGATATCTTGCTGAACTGTTTAATATCTGTTATAGATTCCGAATTGAGCGAGGCCAAGGACAAGCTGGCGAAGGCGGATTCCTCGTCCAGTGATTCGGAGGATGATTCCTCGCATAAGAGAAAGAAGCCCATCACACATGCTGACAAGCCTTCCGAGGAAGTGAGTTCCCCAGTTTGGTTCCAGTTTGTTTATTTAATTAGGTTGAGTGGTATTGCGGATTGAGAGATTTTTAGATATGATTATGATTCAATTCCCAAAAGAATTAAATTAATAGTGAGTCATATCGCTAAGATCTTCTTGATCTTAAAATACCTTTAGTACGTTTCACTATTTAATTGATATTACTTTCCTCTTTCAGGTGGTTGAGCGCATGGAGGAGAAATTGGAGGCGGCGAATGTGAACCAGAAGCGTCTGTTCCTCATTGTCTTCCAGAGGTTCATCATGATTCTCTCCGAGCATCTGCTGCGCTCCGACACCGATGGTCGTGATCCGGACACGGACTGGTATCGCTGGACCATCGGCCGACTGCAGCAGGTCTTCCTCATGGTAAACCAGCTCCTTGTAAGACCTATTAATGGATTTTAATCGAAGCAACTCTTTATTTTTTGCAGCACCATGAACAAGTTCAGAAGTACAGCAGCACACTGGAAACGCTGCTCTTCACCTCCGATTTGGATACACACATACTGGAGGTTTTCCAGCAGTTCGTAGCCCTGCGTGCCTAAAAAGAGTCCGGCAAAGCTTAACCCCAAACCAACAATATCAACAATCAACCACCAGCCATCGATTTCCACTCGCTGTGGAGTTGGGTTCTTCAAACCCTTTCACATTCTTAAGTTACAATGAACTCGGGTTCTGTAAAACCTTTTATTTTGGTCAGTAAGCTGGCTCTATCCCCCAAACAATATTTGAGTAAGCGTAATTTTTATTTTTTTGTAAACGACGCGAAGAGTTAACAGCAAGTAAGAGGAAAGTTAGTAAAGCAAATAAAGTCGAATAGGGAGCTCCTTTACGATGATGAAGATCCAAATGGACATCAATTAAAAGCAACCGAAGTGGATTTAATGGGTGGGGGATATGAACTAAAGATTTGTCTCGAAATTTAAGCTAGCTTTTAGTTTTGTACTCATCCCGAAAAATATGCAAGGGAAACCATTGAAAGAAGCCACTTCTCTGATCTTGGTAAATATATTTATTTATTTATATTTATATGTACTTCTCGTGTGTATATATATAGATCTGTTTTGTATGCGTTCAATATACGAAAATATATATGTATATATATTTTCCATCCAGTTCCGAGCGGCTGTTTTTGATCTTTGGCCTTCGTTCAGGTTCAAGAATTGCAATCGAGGATAATAACTACAGCTGTGGATAAGCCTTAGGTGCCTTGTAGATTTGTAACCACGTTTTGTTTCCATGAGTCCGTAGGCAAAGTCCAGGTCGTCAGGGTTGCGTTTGAGTTTAAATTTGATTCCTTAGGAGGAGGTCCTCGGCTGGCTGGGCACGTACTTCTCCGACGGTTGGTACTGCCACTGGGCGCAGATCTCCTCCTGCTCCGTCTGGTTATATCCAGCCCTAATCGATTCAATCGGAATGGAAAGGGAAGAACGAAGGGGAAAGGCATGCGATTCTCAGTGAGTTTATTTGTACAGAATATCGGGTATGTAATGGGTGGAACTGAACGAACTGGTGAGTACAATTAAACCATCTCAAAACATGCAAAACATCGATGGCAATCATCACACATGCAGGGCTAAGTGGCTACGACTAGGGTTCGTTCCCTAGTGGAACCGAAAGCTGCAACTTAAGACTACTAATACTAAACGGGAACACTGAGCTCAAGCGATTTTTGGCCCAGCAAATGGTAACATCAGTGGAGAGTAGTCATAATTAAACTTAAAGGTTTACTCATTCAACTCATAATAATAAAAGAGATATAAGACTCATAAATGTTCCTGTTTCCTGATAAAGAACCTCATCTTGTTTTCCTCAACCACTCCACGTTTCCCTTGAACTTCTCTTAAAATAGCTTCATCACTCAATTACTCACAAAGGAAATCGGTTAAAGTATTTCATTTATATTCGAACAGAGAACAATACAAGTTATTCTCTTCTCACGCGGAGATGGTAAGACTGTGATAATGAAACTGCCCGGAATAATAAATACCTTTAATAAAGCGAACTTTAAAAGAATGTAAAGCAGGATAAACCGAACATATCTGATTCATTGACTTGAAAATCACGTTCTTAGTTCTGCGACAATGTGGTAAAAAGCGGAAGATGGATTTAAGAAGGGGTTTTCAAGTTTCCTAAGTTATCAACTGCGGTTTTCTTTGGCAAATCGGGTGGAGAAAAAGAAATGTTAAGTAATTTTAAAAATAATTAAAACGACCTATATCTAGCTGAAATATGGATTAATGATTTGATATGAAGCTCTTTAGTGTTTAAGGAAACTAAACTTTTTTTTTGTACTTAAACTTGCAGTTCCTTCTGCATGGATTTCTAAGGTTTCTTCTAGAGAATTTGACCCATAACTGAAATATGGATTAATGACTTGATATGAAGTTCTCTAGGATTTAAGGGAACTCAACCTTTATCGATTCCTAACTGTATGGACTTCCTGTTGTTAATCCACCTAAAGTTTCTTTTAGAGAATTTTAATCACAACTTTCGTATGATAACTGAATATATGTAGAATAATGACTTGATATGAAGCTCTCCAGTGTTTAAGGAAACTCAACCTTTTTTTGCAATTTAACTATCTTCCTGGATTTCTGGTTAATCCACCTACAATTTCTTTTAGAGAATGTGACCCATAACTTTCATAGATAATGATTACTCTCCCACCAGTGATCCCATTTGCTGGGCAGCAAAGTGAAATCGCGGCCCCGGGGAACAGTCTTTGGGGGATTCGCATCGCCCGAACGGAGCCCTCAGCTCCAGCGGGAGCCGAAGCCCCCGTAGCCGCGCAGATTAGCCGGATAGCCATAGCCGTAGCCGTGGGACGACGGCCCTGGTCGCTCGTAATAGTAGCCAGGATGCGGGTCCTGGTATCCCGCATCCTGGTGGTAGCCAGCAGAGGGAGGCAGCTCCCGGCTGACCGGCGCCTGCAGGCTGTCCCACAGGAGGCGGGGTCGCTGGACCACCTCGCGCAGGATGTTCACCGCCGCCAGGCCGACGCTGGCCAGCTTGACGCCCCACCGGCGGGCCGTCGACTTGGCGGGCGCGAACTCGGGCACGGCGGCGGCCAGGGCGCGTCCCTGGGGATGGGCCAGGATCTTGGCTATCAGATTGTCCCCGTGGGGCGGGACATAGAGGTCCGCCTGCCGGAACTCCGCCGGACAGTGATCGGTGCGGTAGTAGAAGTCCTCGAACCTCTGGTGCGCCGAGCAGGGACTGCGCTCCTGGAAGCACGTCACCTGCACCACATTGTAGAAGATGGCACCGAGTGTGTTGGCCGTCTCCGTGTTCGCCGCCTGCAAACAGCGCCGGAATCTCGCATCGCAGTCGCAGTGGCTCCGCGTGAAGGTGCCGCGGTTGCACAATCCCCGCCGGCACTCGCCCACATTGAGGACATCCGGGCACATGTCGTGCTCCCTGCAGCAGCGATCCTCGCGCGCATGCGCACCCAAATCCTCGTAGCTGGTGGCCGCCGTGCCAGGACCACACCACTTCGTTCCCGGGTAGATGAAGCCCAAGCCACCGCGGAACTCGTGGCCGTAGGAGCCCTGCCGGCGGCACACCTCCTCCAGCTCCATCACCGACTCCCGCGGCACCTGGCGGATGCGGCGCGGGTCCGACTGCAGCAACATGCGCTGGATGTCGCCACTGCAAAAGGGGAATTTCAAGAGATTAACCCTCTAAACTAGCAATGATTGAAAGATATTTATTATATGATTCAAAGATAATATCTAACTGTATTTATAATGACTATATGTTCAAGCAAACATCAATATTGTACAACACGTTAAGCTGTTATTAGCTAATGCTATATAATTATTTCTGAAACTTTGATTGAAGCCAATAATACCTTATTAAAAAGGGTAAAGATTAATTACCACTTATTTCAAGCGAAATATATACCCTTGCAGTTATCACAAATGTCAAAAAAATGCATAAAGGCTAATCAACATTGAAGTAATGACGATTTTTCTATTTATTTTTCCATATTTTCGCCGTTTGTTTCTATGGCAGCTTATGACATAGACGTCCGATTTTCATAAAATTTAATTAAATTATTTAAATGAAATCAATGAAACAAAATTGCTTTAGGAGGGATGCCACTTCAAAAACGGAGTAACATTAGAAAAGTTATGGACTTAGAATTAGTACATTTTGGCCAATTTTCAGCAAATCCATTTTTTGGAAATTAGAAAAGGGGTTGGATCATAAAAAATAGAAAAAAATAGAATTTAAGGATTTTAGATACTGAAATTAGAAAACCCCTTATAATAAAAAACTAAATTTATAATTCTAAAATATTCGCTGAGTAAATGTTGCTAAGATTAAAAACTAAATTCATTTTATTGTATCTAAAAGTTTCAACTTATGCTTCCAGCATAACTCACCGATCGGTGTGCATCTTGCAGAAGGGATGTCGCGAGGATAGCTCCACCATAACGCTCATGGTCATATCGGAGATGAGGACCGCCGATCCGGAAGTGGGTGGCACCACCACCGCGCCGAGTCCAAGGAGCAGCACCACCGCCCAGGGCAGCGGTTCCCTCATGGCGCCAACTGGATTTAGACAAACAAGAGGATTCCGATGAGGGTTTAGATACATATACACGATATATATATATAGCTGATTCGAGGGGGGAGAGAGGGGCGTGGCCAGAGATCTGCTTGGCTGAACTGACGGCGCGATAATGAGGCGATATGGTTATGATATGTGGGCCATCATTAGCAGCCGAGTGCCGATCGCCCGCAACTCGCATTTTGCATTTCTATGGACCGCGTATGTGACCTCTGGCCACCAACAGAATCTAATAACCATAACTGTGCACAGTGGTTCCACTCCATGTTGTCAGATCGAAGATCACATGAATCCCTAAGCAGATATCATCCGAAACTGTATCAATATCATCTACATGAGCGTTGGAATAGCAACACCATACATTTTGTTATGATAATCGAGATGTTTATATGCCTAAATTATCATAATTATGTCGTGTTAATACGCAGCAGATACACTGCACGAAAAGTAATGTTGTATACCTAAACGAACCCTAAACTCAATATTAAAATAGTATTTAAAGATTGCATTTTAAAAATATAGTTAATTCACATATAAAACTATATGAAAGTGTAACTTGGGATGTTGGTTATATTTTTTTAGACAATTTCTTGGCCACTTCTTACCACTGTAAAGCCAACGATCAAAACAAAAGGCAGCGCAAAACAAATGATGTTGGCCATAGATAAAAAAAAAGCGACAGCCAAAACAATTTGCAAAATAAAAGGCGATGGCTTACGAACGAACGGTATAAATATATATTAAGTTCGAGGGGGGAGCGAAGGAGAGAAGAAGAAGACAGTGACCTACCCCAAGAGCCGCTCTTCTTCTTCTTCTTCAAGCCAAGTTAACCAAGCAACAAAGAAAAAATTGTTTTTTTTTTATGAATAAATAGCCAGGAAGAGCGGCGCCTCATTTTTGTGGGTCAGTTGAAGGTGGAGGCGTCAGCTTGTTACCAATTCTTTGGCTTCTCCTCTATGCCTTCCACCACTTCCACGGCTTTTGGCCAACTGGCAAAAGGTGAAGGTCACCCTTGCCGGCCGTCCGTCCAACTCTGTTAATTAGTCAAGATAGAAAAAGAAAAAAAAAAAAAAACAGAAAACAAAAAGAAGACAATTTATGACACTGCTGGTTTGATTCTTCAGTCTTCTTCTGCCTGCTCAGCGTTTACTTAACGTTATTATTTCGTTACTTATTATTTGTTTACTTCGAATGCCAAGGAACAATTTACCCATCACGTACCACTCGCGGGAAAATAATTAATGATGACACCTCACCACACCGCTTACTATAAGCCTTATTTATGTTGTTTGCACAATTGTTCATTTGTTGCAGTGTAAGTGGAGCATGTGGGAAAACAGGGAGAGGAGCGTGAGAACTTGCCAAGGGGGATCGCTTCAAACATATAGTACAAATATACGAGCATTATCTCATTTGAATGTCCATCGGTTGAGATAGAAATAAATCCTTGTTCGGTAGAAAAACATGTGTTCGAATCACAAATAAACATGGCAAACTATTAAGTCTGACAAGTTATTGATAGCTCCCATTTGGAGTATACTTCCCCTCCCGGCAATTACCTGCGACTACGCCCCTGACAAAAAGTCAGAGGCGGGGGCGTGGCCTTGCCCCCAAGTCACCGGGTGAACTTGGCTGTCACTCCGCTCGCGAATTGTTTTCGCCCGCAGATCAATTGCCATTCCGGTGTTTCTTTTGGTTATTCGTTATTAGTTATTTATGGAAACCGATCGATCGCAATCGCAATAGCAATTCGCATTAATAATTCGCACCGACAAGTGACAACAATTGGTAATCAATTACCACGCCATTCCATTCTATCGGTGAACGTACGAGTATCTCTGTGCAAACAGCACATAAAACATCTTCGTTTTTGTTTTCCAACATATATTGATTATCCATCCGTTGTTGCTCGCATAATTTTCAATGTCAATGCTTTTGCTTTTTGGCTTTTTAATTTCATGGCATATAATGAGCCAGTCTTCTGGTCTTTGCTCTTCAGTCTTCGCTCTCCAGTCTTCAGTCGCCAGCCAATGCAAAAGAAAACGAAAACAAAGTTGAAAATCAAAAGCGAATCGAGTTCGCTTACTTCCATCGGCTTGTTTATAGACCTCAAGTACAATGACCGCACTCCCATTTAAGTTCCGAAAATAAAACAACTAAAACCGTATACTTAAACCGTTTATAGATCTTTTTGTGTTTATGGATCTTGGCTTTAAGCTGTCACTCAGCAGAAAGAGATCAACATCGGATCACATCGGTCAGGATTACAGTCGAACTTCTGTCACTTTGAACCAACTACACATCTGGCCAAGAAAAATATGTATTTTAAGAACCTAATGAAGAATTTGTTGTAAGAATACTTTTTAAATTTTTAATAATAATATATATATTTTTCTAGAACTGCAAAATAGGGTTTCGCCTTCTAGAGTGAAACCCAATTATTTTGGTATGTAAAAAAAGTACGAGTCTTGTCTTAATTTCCATATCGCCTTTTACGATTCCAAGCAAATAAAAACCCTTTTCATTCCCAAAATTGTTTACGATATAAGTGCATGTAATTCGGAGACCATTAACTGGATTTTTTATTTGGCAAATTTGTGACCCAAGTGCTTGGAGGTTTTTTTTTGGGGCCATTAAACCCCGGGGAATGTTTCTGAACCTCGGACGAGGCTCGAACTGCGATCTAAGGTCTACCAAAGTCTTCTGCGTCAACAGGCGTGTCTTGGAACCACAGATCAGATCATCAATCAACGATCTCCTTATTTTGGATTGTCGTTTTTTTCTTGGTTATAATTTTTTTTGTGTTTTTTAGCCCTTCACTCGGACGCATCCAAAAAACAGGTTTTGCGGTTCGTTTGCATTTTGAATGTCACGCTGCAGATGGAAACGCTGGTTCTTAAAAGCCACAATAACAAGTTGTAATCCCCTCCCCAAAAAAAAAGGCCCCTCGTCGCCGGTTGTTTTTGTTTTTTTCTTTTTTTTTTTTGTAGCACCAGTTTGAAACGTGGTAATTGCCGGACTGTCGCAGCCGAGTATCGCTGGCTGATAATCGCTGTAATTGCCGCAGAGCAAAGCAGACCTTCCGACGTGCCCCATCATAAAATAAAGGAAGCTCCGTCCTTGTCCTCTGGAAATGGGGTCAAGTTTAAGTGCAGAATACACGACGCATTGCAGCCACATTCGGCCCGCCATTCTACACAGAAATCGATATTGGGTTTCACTTAAACAGTTGTCCTTTTACATATATTTTAAGAATAATTAAATAACTTTGCTGATAGAATATTTAAGTTGGAGTCTTTCCTGTAACATCTAACTTTAGGTTTCCCTCAAACAATCGTTCCATAATTTCAAATATACATTACATAGATATCTATGCAACCCATAACACTCCCTCGAAACCCAAAGAAAAACAGACGAGAGGATCTTATCACATTGTTTTTAGAAGCCTGATAATTTGGAAAGTGATCATAAAGTGGTGTCATCTGCAGCCGATCGAATTAGGGCCAATCAAAAGCAAACAGAGGCTGGTCATTGTCTTCGCATAAGTCGATCGAAAGGCGGATCAATATGCATAAAGCTAACTGGACAGTGAACGGTCATTGAACGACCCCTCCCCCTCACCCGCCCAAGGTCACACCGGCACCACCGAAGACAAAAGATAGTCATAGTACCCCCGTCATCAGACCCCCGACATAAACCGAAACTAAAATCGAAAACCCAAAACCAAAAACCGAAAACCGAAAGCAATTCCCAAAACCGAAACCCAAGACGAAGGCGTTAATTGAATCTGAAATAAAGGAAGCGACTCTCTCTGAAAAATCTTGGGGATGGGGCCCCATTGGCTGGGTGGGGGTGGGGGTAAAAACCGATCGGAAGTTAGTCAAGAACATATTGTTTACCTTCGCAATTGGCGAAAACCGTCGAGAATGTTGTGCCTACCAAACAATGCGAAAGAGAAACACACGAGTTTCTGACCTTCCCCCAATCCACGTGTGCTAATCACTGAGCAAATTTCACGGCTTGTCGAGGTAATGCCATCCATCCATCCACGGATTGTGCTCGTATGTGCCAAAAAGATGACGGGGAGATCTTGCTTATCGACCACTCAAATATTTGACCAAGTTGCCAGTTAGATGTGTCCACAAATCCGACCGGAGAAGAGAAGTGTTTGGAATGCAAATGCCAAGAGGTTCTGCTGAAGAGCCGTCTTTTTGGGGCATTTGGGTGGGGTGTCTGAGTGTCTAAGTTTCATCACCACTTCGAAAAGATATCTTGAGAACACATTGTAATCTTACACTGGATATCTTTGTAAAGAAATTGAAGTATTCTTATTTATTTTATAAAACTTTTTTTGAGGCCATTCTATATTCTGCATTTCTAATTCTAAATTTTTGTGTACCTAACAATTTAAAAATTCAATTAAATAAAAAAAAAATATTTTAAATCTTAAATCTTTAAAAAGGTTATATAGCCCATAATTACAATTTTCCAAAAGGTCAATGTATAAAAAATCAAAGCTTGAGTTTTAGGAACTTTTACTTTTTATTTTTTTTTTAAGTTATTTTTTTTAGTATGTGTATATATTTCCCCATCTGACTTTTTGTCAAACACCCTTTTTCAAAAAAAAGGGATCATAGATCTCCAAAGGATTTTTAAACTTTGTTCTTAATTTCGAATCACCGTCACTTTCAATGGTCACTTGGCTGGGAAAGCTGTGCTTTAATCCCAAGGCCGCCTGGCTGCCTTCACCTTTTGACATTTGGCCCACTGCGCCGCCCCCTATCCTGGCCGCCCACCACCCACTGGGCGCGGCCTTCGTGCGTGAGTGACCTTCAAAAGGCAGCAGGAAAAACCATAACAAAACGGCAAGGACAGGTGCACGCACTTCACAATAAAAACATTAAAAAAAAAATTGCGAGGAACGCACAAAATTTTACCTGAGAACGAACGGTACCGAAAAAGTTCAATATCAAACGGGATAAATTCCCGTTTCGCCGTATCGGGTTACAGTTATTTAGTTTAACGGCTGACAAGGATGTGGGATTTTAGAAGGAATTTTTTTGTTTTTTTGGTTGCAGGACGGCGGCACTTTCGTTTAATGGATTTTAATTTCGGTTTCGATTTCTTTGGGACGGTTATCTTTAGCAGCAGCGAAACATTTCCGCGACGCGTTTGCGGCGCAACTGAACTTGATTCTGGCGCGTCGAGCGCTGTTAAACTTGGACTTGGCCAAAAACCAAAAAAAAAAAAAAAGACAAGAAAAAATCATGAAACAGAAAAACACCAACAAATTGAAAAGCAGCGGCAGAAGCTGAAAAGCAGTGAGCCAGGCCAAGAAACCGACTTACAACAACAACAACAACAAACAGCCGGACTAGAAGCTCGCCGACGTCGTCGCCAGCGGAAGCTGCAGGCCGACCAGAGGCGCAGCCCAAGGGGTTTTGGCCATATAAAATTTATTAAATACAATAACAATTTAATGGACGCCCTGAGGCCAAGCCAACATGCATGCACTGGATTTTATAGGCATTTTCAAAGTCTTTGCTTGGCAAATACAAGAAATGATAAAGGAATTTTAAATCGAAAAGGTCTTGAACCCAAAGAAAATATGTAATAAAAAATGCAAGTTAAGAGAATCATAAAATGCTTGCCATTCAATTTTAATTTAGTTAAATTTTAAACATTTAGTAAGAAATAGTTTTATAGTTGCAAAGGTATTTCTCCCCCTTTCACCTGCCCTGGTTTACGCCCATGGTCACGCCCACGACCACCAGTGCAAAATCAAAATCGAAGATGCGTCCATAGCCAAAAAAAGTGCAAAAAGAGTAACAGAAAAAATTGAAAAGCTCCACGAAGACCGTTGGCAGACAAAAGCTCGCAATTTTGCGGATTTGGGCCCCACCAACCGTTCGGTGGATGGGATTGGGCCTCCACTAAGCCCCATCAAACAACCGCTTAACCGTTTCGCGGTTGCAAACTCCGCTAACCACAAAAATAAGTAGCATATTTTTTGGGGCACATTTTGAGATTGTATAAATTTATTTAATATACATAGTGTGGCTTTGTATGAGTGTTTTGTTGGTAGTGACTGCAATGAAAATAATAATCTTACTTATCTGCTAACAAAAAAAATAATTGTTTAGTTGCTTAGGTGTACTGTACCAAACAAAAAAAAATAAACGCCTAGAGAAGCAACAAAAATTTAGAATTAGATACGATATAATAAGTGTGTTTGTGTGTTGCTTGTTCTCCAATTGGTTAAAATTTCCATAAGGGGCCTACATATAGACATAACTTCATTTTTCAGTTCTTGTTTCAGCCATCAATGATGTTCTTCCTTTTACAAATTTCAAGTGTTTCCTACACAAAGGTTGCTACTAACCGTTCTATACAATTATACTTAACTTAAATTTAAACTATTGCTGCCGTGATAACTAAAATTTACTAACGACTGCTGAACAAGGATCGTTTGTATATATATATATACTATATATAGAATATAGGCTTGGTTAGTTTCTGCTTGGTTTGCTGATTGGTTGGTAGTTGGTTGGTTTTAGTTATCATTTGTTATTTGTTGTGTATTGTGTGTTATGTTGTGTTGTGTTGTGTGTTTTGCCTTTGGCGCCTCGCTCAGTCTTCGGTCCTTGGATTATTGTCCTCTATCTGATGTTGGCAAACAGATTCAGCACGGATTTGTTCTCCTTCTGGCTGCGCGCCTTGCTAAAAACGTTCCAGAAACGCAGCGTCTCGTCGCCAGCTCCAGTGACAATCGCCTCGCCATCGGGACTTAAGGCCAAGTAGAGCACCCGATACGAGTGGCCCGTGAGCTTGGCGACCTGCGTCAGCGATGGATACTTCCACACGAGTATCTGGTTCTGCGAGTAGCCGTGCGTGGAGACCAGCTCCGAGGAGTGCTTGGACCAGGCCAGATTGCACACCTGCGACCCCGTGTCCACGCACTGCATGGGCTGGCCCGTCAGCGTGTTCCAGAAGCGGATGCACCGATCCGCCGTACCGCCGCCGCTGGCCAGGAGTCCGTGATGGTGGGGCGACCAGGCGATCGCCTTCACGGCGGCCATGTGCTCCGTGTACGACTGCACGGGATTCACCGAGTGCTGGTTCCACACGTACAGCCGGTTGTCGTTGCCGCCGCTGGCCAAGTACTGGTTGTCCGGCGACCACTTCAGGCCGCACACCTCCTGCCGATGGCCAGCCAGCCGGCGCTCCGACTGCAGCTGCGGCGTCCGTGTGTCCCGCTGGATGATCCAGCGATCGCGCGACCCGCTCGACAGGATGTCGCTGTTCCAGGCCAGCGCTCCCACGCGCGCCGAGTGGCCGTTCAGCTTGTTTATCTGCTTGTTGGCCGCCACGTCCCACACGGTCACGTATCCATGGTGGGTGCCCACGGCCACGGTGTTGCCGCGCTCGTTCCACGACACGGAGGTCACCGTGTTCGCATCCGGACTGAGATCACACAGGCGGGTAACCTGCATTCAAGGAGAGAGATTTATTAGTGAGAGATTCATTAGGAGAATGAACAATTGCACTTCTCCTCGAAGGAGAGGAGCACTCACCTGGCTGGTGCAGGCGCTCCAAAGGTAGACACAGCTGCCCAGACCCACCGCGAGGACATTCTGCGACGACCAGTCGACCAGGTTCAGATAGAAGTCGTCCTGCAGCTCGGGCGCATCGAGAACCTTGAAGGGAATGCGAGAGATCTTGCGCGTGGCCTTGCGCGGCGATCGCAGTAGCTTCTGGCTTTTGGCGCTGACGGGCGATAACGAGTAGGGGCACTCGCCATTATAATCCTAAAAAACATTACATAACACAATAAGACATATTATTATTACATATTAGAAGTGCAAACGTTCCAGTTGCTGCAGTCGAGCAAGAAATTGCCAAAGCAAATGTGTCTCAATTGCCGCCTTCTCCCGATGGGAAAAAACAAAGTAAAGCGTTGGAATTGCGTTTTGTTTGCAAGACGCGTACTTGGCGTTCGGCAATTAACGCCAAAGTGCTAAGAGTTGCGACCGCGTCGTAGTCATAGTCCCCCTTCTTGGTTACAAGCTACACCTTTCCACAAAAGACCACCTTTTTACCTTTTTCTAAACTCCACAAATTCAAAGTTCAAGTTTCAGATTAATAGCTCTTTTATTTGAAGTATACCTCACACTTTTAATATCATTCAAGCTATTTAAAATCCCTCCAATTTTCATCTCCTATTTCCTATTTCATAGCCAGCTCTGTTTTCTCTCTGTGTAGCCCATCACAATTCGCATTTGGCACGCATTCCGCTTCGCTGGGAGCCTCTGCTGCTGCGGCTTTTGTTTGCATTGAAAATGCGGGCAGGGAAGTGTGTTAAGCGTATGCGTAAAGGGCAGTAGTCTTCGGACCTCCCACTGCCACGCCCCCTTCACGCCCCCCTCTCTCCCTCTCACTTACGCAACAAAGTTACTTTTGAAATGCGTGAGTCGGGGGAACTCAACTCATTCAAAACTAAGCGGAATTGTGCGTGCCAACGAATTGCAATGGGAATGGAAAAAAAATATATAGAGCATATAGAAATGTAAATTGAATTCAAAACTAAAATCGAGGATTAGAAAAGGAGGACACAAATCCCGATTAAATTCTATTAAATGCAGGAGAATTTTACATGTGAAGAATTTATTCAGCATTCGTTTCCGTGTTGCAAGACATTTAGTTTTAATTTATGAAAATGAATTCTTGGCGCGGCGAATGGGCTGGCATCTCAACTAAAACAAGTCTTGTTATAATTTAATAATCTTCTGCATTTAAGGCGAAATTTCAAAGTGGATTAAGACAAAGAATTTCTTAAAGGAAATGATTAAGTTAAAATGTAGTGACTTTTCATTGACTTATCGCACAAGATACGCAGCTAACTAATATTTTAAAGTTGACGCATTTGATTCCAGAACAATGAGTCTTCTTTGCATTACTAACCAAGTTGTTGGGTTTTTTTTTAATATATATCTCAAGCTCCCCTTATTTCGCGTATCACTGCATATTTGTTAGCCTGACATGTAGTTTTTTGGAACAGCATTTGTCATTGTGGGTTGGTCAGGTTCTCGTTTGCGATTCAGATAAAGTGAGCAAACATCCCGGCAAACTCAAGCGAACACGTAACTCCCTTGGGAATGGGAATCAAGTAACAAATATATGTATTACTTTCGGGGTAGATAGAGTTGAGGTGCTTTGACCTGTGCTCCCACGGGTGAGCCATCCCTCGAAACTAAAAAAAAAAAAAAAAAAAAAAAAACAGAGCACTTGACGTCATGCCGCGACTCTTAATTCGTTTAACAAATTAAAATTTAATTCAATTAACAGAGGGGCCAAAATGAGAATGAGAGTTGAGACAAGCAGAATTTAATTACGGAATTCGGATGGGGGTTTTTCCTATATAGAGGAATCCTATAGAGGAATCTCCGAAAGCGTGCGTGTGCTGAGCCCTTAATGGTCACTTTACACTTTGGAAAAAAATTTAAAAAAAAAAATATACCACAAGAAAACCAGAAAAAAAAACAGAAGGCAACCATTTAATGGTTTTTGAGGTCTTCGCTTCCATTTTCTGGGAATGTTATTAAGGCAGTTAAAACCCCTTTGGATTCCCCCCTTTCGCCCCAAGTGCCACTCTATAAAGCGTACAAGCAACTGCCATTAAATTTAAATGTTTTTCGATGCCATGCAGAGCGAAAAAAAAAAAAAATGCGAGGTGGTAAGCCTATTAGAAATTCAATTGTTAAAACGCTTAAAGTTTCGAGGGATTGGGGAATTGAGGGGGGATGAGGGGGCAGCAAGCCCCCTGACAAATGGCAAAAGGAAATCCAACAACCCGATTAAAATCGCACACCGAGCTCTTGTTTTTCAACCTTGTGGCCTTACCTATTTATCACCTATTTTTGCGTAACTTTTTTGTTTTTTTCTTTTACATCTAACTTTTACTAGGCCTTAATTGTTTCACTCAATTAACAGAGAGATCGGATTCAGTACAGTCCGGTGCGAAAGAGCATGTCACAATCATCAGCCAGACAATCATCACTCATTCATTCCGATTCCGCTCAGCAAACTCCAAACAAAAGACAAAAATGCGAGCTGCTAACCAGAAGTAAGAAATACAAAATAAGAAATAAAAAATAAGAAATAATTGAATAAAAAGCAACTTGCCGGCCGGCATTTGTAAAGTCCTCGTGTTTTTTTTTTATATACTTTTATCTTATTTTTTGGCTGGTGGGCGGCGCTTAGAGGCAGGCTTATAAATTAAACAAATAAACAACCAACCAGCAGCAAGAACAGCGAGGCAAATAAAAAAAAAAAAAAAAAAAAAAAAACAGCAAAAAAAGAAGAGAAATGAAATCGTGATTTGGAGAAGAGGTGGGGGGCCACAAAGGGTTAAGGTGGAGGGAGGGAAGGTGGTGCTTAACCCATGTTTAATGGTAATTTTGAACCTGTCGCTGCGATCGGCTGGAATCGTATGGGATGGGATCGGATCGGACCAACTTAATCACGCTGCCACGAAAATAGTCATCGCTAATGCGATGTTAATGCAAATGTCTGCTGCATAAATTAATAATTATAATAACAATAAAAGCGGAGACCACAAAAACAAACTATTAAAGATGAGATTTGTTGTTGGACTGTTGGCCGTTGTGTGAGTAGTCGGTTTTCTATAATTCCCCTTAATGGCTTTTCAAAACAGCCAGACTTGGGTAAAAAAAAAAAAAAAAAAAACGAAAAAACAGAAACAGGTGCACGAAATCAGCGGGCAAAGGGGTGTTAATCATGGTTACTTGAGGCAGCGCTGATTGGATTGTAGGAAAAATAGCAATAAAAATAATAGTAATTACTCAAAAATATCTAGCTGGCACGAAATTCGCAAGGCAAAGTTGGAGGAGAAGTTAATGTAGCTCGCTTTCAGTTTGGCTGAGATTAAAAATCATAAATCCTTTAGTTGAATACTGTATAATTGCATTATTTTCTGTAGAAATTCCTCTAGGTTTTCCATATATAATTGAATTAAAATACTACAACTGATTTAGTCAGGGAAGTACTAACAATGATCCCCCATTCATTGATCACCAGAAATTCCATCATACTTTCCCATTCGTCAATGAACCCAACAGCCAACAGCCAAAAGCAAGAACCAATCCCCACTCTTTTTTCGAACCAAAACAATGGTAAACGTCTGAAGAAGTGTTGAGACCATATATATTTCGCTGACTGCTGGACAGCCAAAAACTACTGTACAAAAAAACAAAAAATAACTAGGAGGTGGGGCCCGCACCACATTATTTATGACAATAACTTTGCGACCGCACATAATTGAATTACATATTGTTTGTTGTGACCACAGAGGCATATGGAATATGGAATATGGGTAAGGAAAAAAAACCTAAGGGCTGTATAAAGAGAAAAAAAACTGAACAATCGGGGGGAGCGGCGTGCTAATTGTGTGGGCGTGATGTAGATGAATGGCCGGCGATTTGTGGGTGAGTAATTGCAGGGGACACAGACTCCAAATCAAAACCAGCTCTCGACAGTTGCCAATTGGCAGTAGAATAAGCCCCAAAAAGAAATCACCTCTCTGCGATTGCTATTAATCAATAAAAAAAAGCTTTTTGCTACCCCTTCACCTCGGAAATTCCCGATCTATGGGTTATTAAATGGGCACACAGAGATCTCAGTTATATGGACTCAAGTGTCGTTTTAAACCACTGAAGAAGTAGTTGAAGTTGGCGAACTCAGCTCGGTCCAGTCTCGACCACTTTAAGTTGCCTTTTCCTATCTCCACTATTTAAATACCCTTTCAAGACAAAATACAAAAGAGAATTATATCTTCTGTTCATTGCGGATCCCATAATTCCTAATAATTTGCTGACCTTTTTTTAAGTACAATAACATGCAATGCCAATGCAAACAGAATAGGAAAACCAATTAATCTAGTGTCCGAATTTAAAGGGTATAAACCAGTTCGTTCTTAAAGTTGAACTACTTTTATGTGAAGTGAGTGCGTGTGTTGCTCACTTATTTGTTTGCCGCTTTTGTTATTTTTGTTGGCTGCTGCTGGCTGGCTGGCTTTTCTACCGCTTCTGCTGCTGGCAACGTGTCAACTGTCAAAATCAGTCAAAGCAAAGTATCCAACGAAAGCCAAGAAGACGATCAGACGATCGGTCGGTCGGTCAGCGGACGTGCCCCACACGTACCTCTTTATTTATCTTTCATTTCATTTTTTTCTTTGCCAAGCGGGCAGCAATTGAGGCAACATAAATCTGATAAGCGGGCAAATATGTCAGGTCTGCAATAACAATAATTATGATGGAGGATGGCGATAATGGTGACGGGGGAGATCACCGGCGTAGCCACGAATCTAATGACAAGTGGCAATAGTCGTCTCCCCTTCTCCATTCCACATTTGTTTTTCTACTCCGTGTTGCCTTTTATCTTTTTCATTTCTATATCTGTTTGCCCGTTTTTGGACCAAAAACACTTGAACAATCAGTCCACCAGCTACATATATACAGTATTACATGGCGATGGAGATCTATGTGCTATATAGACAGACAGCGAGATCTCCTCAAAGAAAAAAAAACACGTTGGCGGTCATCACGCGCGCATTTGGAATATTGGAATCAAAAAGAGTGTAAAGAGTGTGTTAACCTCGAGGCTCGGTAGTTTTGGTCGAACAACTTTTCTCTCGGTTCGTCTAAAGGCCAAAAGCAAAGACTTTTCACTGAAACCGGTTTTCACCTTCTTCTCAAGTGAATAGATCAATAGAGTTTTGGGAGCAGGGAAGGGGACAAAGAACGCTGGTCAGGAGTTTTCCCAAAGTCAATCTCCTCATCGGAGTCTTTACTAAACATATAAATATAAAAACCCGTAAAAGAAATACAGCTTAATATGATATACATTTGGAATTCCCACGATCTGATCGCTCGGTTTATTCAACCTTCCTCTTCATATCTATTCTCTCTGATTTTTGTTTGGGAGTACAAGAAAACCTCAATTAACACCGACTGCAAATTCAATTAAATGCATTCTGCAGCACACAATGCCCCTCGAATTGGAGTCTCTCAATCAAAAGTCAAATTCGCTGACCTTTCAGCTTAGAGAATTCCACGTATTTTATATATTATATATATATATTATTTATATATTATTTATATATTATTTATATATTATTTATATATTATTTAAATGGTCTGTTTTATAACTAATTGCTTTATATGTGAAATCATGCTAGTGCAATTGTTTTCCCCCGCGCTCAAATTCAATGCAAGTAATTTATGTCAGGGAGAATGGAAAAGTGGAAAATGGGAAAACGTGAATGGAAAGCTCACCTGCTTGGTGGGTGACTGGTATTTGAAGAGACTCCGCTTGGCGGCCGGCGTGTAGGCGTTCTCGTTGCGCTCCTCGCCGGCGGTCTTCACGTCGTCGATCGCGGATCCGAGGAGCTCGTTCTTCAGGAGGCAGGAGTAGGCCAGACTATCGCGTGCCGTCTCCCCGCAGTCCCGCTGCTTCTTGCTCGTCTGCGGCGAGTTGTCATTGGACTTGTTGATCGACGCGAAGTTCGTCTGCCAGTTGTTGTTCGCTCTGCGATCGGGTGGAAATGAAAATGAGATAGGAAAACACGAAAATGTTAATCCAATGAAAATGCCATTAATTATCTCTGGAGCAGGGAAAGCTCAGTACTTCACAGTGGTAGTCAAATAAACATAAAATAAATTAAAAAATCTTGTATTTCCCTATCCTAGAACGTGTGATAAATTTGATCTGACTTATAAGTATATTTATTATAATAGATTCCCATTTTATTCCGCCTTCTATCTTCGTCCGTTGCAACAATGGGAAAGTAATAAGAGAGAACATCAAAAAGTACTTAGCCTTACATAAATAATTTATATAAAAAATCCACAATGGATTCATGGGAGGGCAGAGAACCTGGCAAACTAAATAAATTTATGCAAACGCGTTCAAATTCAATTTAGCCATATCGTCTGGCTGGCTGACTGGCTGGCTGGCTGTTTCCCCCCAAACAATTGTTATTATTTCTACCCTATTAAAAACATTAAAAACGTGTGCAACGTGCAAAAAGTATTATTGACGGTCGAATTGTGCAAAATTCGCGAAAAGCAACAACTAAAAATAATAATCATTTGCCATGAAATTTGGCCAAGTGTGAGAGAATTGCACTGCACTGTGAAAAACTGTTTACGAATGCAATAAGCGTTGGCTGTTGCTGTTTTTGCTGTGTTTTTTTTTTAAAGACCCCCTCCCTCCCCCATTTGTCGCCCCTTTTTTGATTATATCTGGCAAACGCATTTGAAGTGCTCACTTCCACCTCGAATAAATCAAATTTCATAAACGGATGGGGGACACCAAGTGAACGAGCAAAGATATATACAAAATGCAGGCGCGACGAATGACAATTCAATAAAAAAAAAAGAGGTAACTCTATCGCGGCTTAAACGCACATGAAGATTCCCTTTTCTAACCGGAAACTAATCGAGTTTCAGCGCTTAAATATTTCCACTTTTTTCGGACCAACTGTTTTTGGCTGAACTCTCACGTCTTTGGATTTTGTCGTTGATCCCAAAAAGCGAAATAAGTTAAGTTTAAGGTACACAGCAAAGTTCAAATTTCCCTGTTTTCCCATGAAGTTTCTGAGTCGTTTGTAGTCTCTTCTCTTACTAATGCCTCTTTCTTCTCCGGCTTTAGCACGTCTTCTTGTTTTTTTTTCCTACGCGGAACTCATTAGTGAATAAAGGCGAAATATTCAAGTTCTTTGGCCAACAGTTTGGCCATTTTTTTGTTGCTTTTCGGGCAAAAACTTGTGACTAAGTGCAGGAAAAGTCACATAAAACATTATTAAGTACGCACTTGGGAATTAAATTAATTTAAAGCAGAAACGCAATTTGCAAACGTTAATGAATTAATTCCCGACCATGGTTGAAAAGAAAAACTCATTTAATTGAGCAGTGAAAAGCACTGGTGGTTCCGTGTTACAAAAATATGTAAAGTGCTGACTCTGACTCTGGGGGCAATGTTTGTCGTTCGTGTTTGTTGTTGTTTATGTTTGCCGGCGGACATTGAATCACCGTTATCTAAACGAGGCGCACTGAGGCGGGAAATTCATAGGTAGGTAGTCCATTCGTATCCGCTGCTCTTTCTCTTCTGTTCTGTTCTCTTCGCCAGCTCTTTCGCCTTGTAAGCGGAAAAGATGACGTAGCAGAAGGAATAACGGCTTGTGCAGAGTTCAATGCACTCAATTAAAATTACAAAATATAACCAGGCAAGCAATTAAGGTTGTAACCCATGGATACAAGAGTCTAAATAATAAAAACAAATTTATTCAAGCCCTAATGATCAGATACAATTACAAAATAAATCCCTCGTAGATTAACAATGTAAAATGGATCAAAGCTTGCATTATTTAAATAAATAAATACGGTTTAATAGTAATAAAACTCACCTGCAGGGTATAAAACGATCGAGGGATGTGGGCGTGGTCGATGACTCGAGATTGTCGAATAGATTTCGGGCCACGGGACTGCAGTGCCTCAGGATGCGCTTTTCATATTCGGGACTGAACATCTTATCGGCTATCGTAACTAGCCACGTGCCCTCGCCTGTAGTGTATTACCGCTTTCGATTCGCAAAAACTCAACCCAAATTTTAACCAAACAAAACTTGGCAAAAAAAAATGCGTTAAAAAATTTGAAAATTTATGTTGATACTCCAAAAATCTGGTTTAGTTACTGTAGAAAATATATATACGAATTATATACGAGTGCTGCAAGAGAGAAAAACAGATAAACATAATTAATTAGAATGGTTCCTCTATGTGTTGGGTGTTCTTTTCGAATTTGAATAAAATTGTAATTTATTTTTGGTGTTTTTCGTGTTGGTTTTTTATGTTAGATTTTTTTTCTTTGGTTGACTACAACGACAGTTTGGCTCTTCGGCCATTAATCAACGTCTGAGATTGGAATTGGGCTTTGGGCCTGGCTAATCATCCCGGCAATTGCCTTTCTATTTTCGAGTCTTTTTCGCACCCATTTCGTTGGGGGCGTATCAATCACCGAATGGAGCAGAATAAATTGGGGGGGACAAGGGGGCAGCCGGTTGGCTGTCATGTATTTTGGATGTATCTTCCCTGGGTTGCGCTCTGCATACGCAAAAATCTAAAAAGGAAAGGTTGTCCTAAACGATCGGAGCTTAAAGATTTAAATACACCCAAAGAGTGAACCTATATTCGCACAAAAAACTTAATTTTTAAAATACCTAACATTTCAGAACTGTTCTATACTAGTACCTTCGTGCTTAATGAATAAAAGTTGAATATATATTCAGAATTTAGTATTCTAAATCACAAACTAATATCCACAATATGATAATAACCCTCTTTTATTAAAGAAGAAATATGATCGGGGCTTTCGGCTGCTAATTAGATCCGCCCCAGCGATTTATTCGAAATTCCGTATCCCCTTCTCAGTACTTTTTTTTTGTTTCTTAACTTTTATATTCCTGGCGTGCTTCGTAGTAATTAATTTATGGGCGTTAAGTGTTGCTTGTTTGCGGCGGCGCTGCAAGATTTCCTTTGGGAGAGGTGTTTTCTCCTATTTTCGATAGGAGAACCACAGCAGCGTAACCATAAAACTTACTCAGCCCAAACACTTCCGCATCGAGGTAGTAGAACTCCGGCGCTTTTTCCCGTTTACTATTTGAAGGTTTAAGTCGATTTTTTTGCTTACAAAATATATATATATCTGTTTTGGAGAGCAATTCTAGACTGGTACTGAAAAATGTTGACTGTCAACCGACAGGTTACTGATCCAACTGAAACATAAACTCGGTTATGGCTTGCTTTTCTTTCGTTTGTCGAGGGTTGAACGAAATAAGATAAAGCTATTGACTCGCAGGTACCGCCCTCGGCAGGTACTAAAAACAGAGAATACTGATAACTCCAAATAACGATACAAAGTCAACCGCTGTTTCCCAAATATATGTACAAATATTATAAATCCATGACTCAAGCCCCTGGAACACAACTAAAGCAGGTTTAAACATGTTGGCTGATAAGCGTGTAATGAAGGCGACGACGATAAGGAAAAGGGGCGACTCTAAGAAGGCGTGGCAGTAGCAAGAAGCTTGGGGTAGGATTTTATTACAGAGTTTGGTGACATCGATAGGCGTGTGAAAGTTTAAGTGCAAACAAAAAGGGGGGGACATTCGAGTTCCAGACGATTCAGTAGTGCCTTCTGGGGAAGAAATATGTTTACATGGAAAAACCCTAGTAAACAAACCGGAATATTGCAATTGAGGTAAAATTATTCAACCGTTGAATTTCGTTTGAAAAAACTTGAAAAATTATTATTGTTAAGGTTGGGCTTGGTTTTGCCCCCCAAATAAACATTCAATAATTGTAAAGCTAAAGGCCTTAGTTTAAAAAGGATAATTTGGGGGTTGTAGTTCCACCCCTTTTGCTGTGCTCCTGGCCCCGTTTGCCCCCTCTCTGTCGCACCCAATGCAATTGATGAATGGTGACACGTCAACGGGGGAGAGTCACTTTTCATGACTCTCTTTTCCCCCCCGTTACTCTCCCACGTTCAAACCACTGATTCTCTCCCCTCGACAACTCACGTCCCTCCCACTCTAACACATACAAATAGTGATCAAGGACAATGAACTTGGCCTGCTGCTATCCCTTTCACGCCGCCTGTGATCTAAGACAATCTGTTTGTTATGTACATGTGTTTGTACTATTTTTAGTGCATGACTTTCAAAGAGAGAGTTGTTTTTGTTGTTACTGAAAGGTCAACTTGGGGGGAGAGATAAATCGCTCTGTGGGAGAAAAAAATGCCAAGGAAATTCCAGGGACTATAAATAACAAGAAATAACCGCAGTGGCGATAAGAGTTGTGGATGTGGTATTTCTTAGCCTGCACCTTGTGGTATTTATATTTTTTAAACTTTATACTCTTATCACAAAACGTATGTTGGGATGATAACAGGCCACAGACAACAACAACCCCCTCCTAGGAAAAGGAAAAAGAGAGAGTGTCTGCATGTGTTTGCAAGCTGAGAATAATCGATGGCCGCAACAAAAAAACTGCAATTATGTCAAGGACTTCGCATCCAAAACGGCCAAAAACACACTGCGTTTAAATATTTAACTTGCCAATTTGCAGTCACATATGTATGACTTTTGTCTATTGTTATTGCTTTTCCAATTGTGCAGAGAGCAGACAACAAGAAAGAGAGAGGGTGAGATCGCATTCCTCTCCGATGCTTTATCCCACTCGCACACAATGTACAGCTAGCTAAGCTAGCAATGGAAAATGGAATGAAAAAAGGTGGTGGAGACGGGGAGCGGAGAGAAAGACGGTTATCTGTGCCAGACGTAACTGTTAAAACACACCAACAAGCACACACACACTCAAACAAACTAAGGCACTTTTCCTCACGTTATAATTTCCAATAAAATTTTCCAATATTTCGATCGGTTTATCACTTACATTTTTTAAATTCTAGAGGCCGATTTTACGCGCTAAAGACGGTTAATTTTGATTTTTGGACAGCAGGACGCGACGCAAACGCGTTTTTATTCAGGCTGTTTGCCGCTGCGGAAAACTCTTGCAACTCCCGAGTTTTGGGGGTTGTTACTTTGCTTGGAGTTTATGTATTATTACACGGGCGGGCTTGCACTGTCGGTCTTTAATTTAATGACGGCGGTGCGCGAGTTTGTCGACTGCCGCTGCTGCGTTTGTTTGGGAGTTTTGTTTGTGTGGGACCAATTTCTGTAATATATTCGTTTCAGGGGTGGAAGTGAGTCGATAACCCAGCTGGTCTTGGCGTTAGTGCGTTATGCACGGTTGCTGCAGGGAAATTAATCGATAGTATCGGGAAAGCAGCGTCCTATTTTCACCCCTAAAATTTCCCCTCGGTTGCCGTTAAATTTAAATGTTTCTCTACAAATAATTAAGTTTGTATGATTGTATTAATAAACATAAACTCTACTGTTTTATATAATTTCTTTTACTATATTTTTTAATTAACGCGATTCTTGTACCCACCACTCATAAAAAAGAGATGGTTATTAATTTTACAACCCATCTATTCAAGTGTGATCATTATTATTTTTTGAATATTTAAACAAAAATCAGATCTTGTTCAATTTTCTGTTTCCTTTTAAAATGAATAAAATTATTCTTTGATTTTGCATTTATATATCTTTGGTTGGAATAATACATTAAAATCGCTCCTGTTATTTAATTATGTTTTTTATTTGTTTTTCAGCAAACCCGCATAATTTTCAAAAGTATTGGCTGTAAAAATAAAAAAAAAAACACCAATTATGTGAAATATCATATGTATTTGATTTGATAATGCTTAATGCACGATGACATGATTTAATACGCAAACACAAGTAGTTTTTTCTTACAACCAAAGCACAAGAAATTAAAAGGTAAAAGATTTAACTTATTAGCATCTCTCATTTTAACTTAACTTACCAACTATCTTAGTTAACTTAAAAAAAAAACATAAAAGACAAGATAAATACTTTCAGATGTGTTGTGTTGTTCCATTTTCCTTGAAAATTAAAATTGAAAGCGTAAAATGATGACATTCACATTCACATTTGAGGAAAACTGTCGGATGTTTGGAGAACTGCTTACTGCAGGCATTACAAAAATATATATATATATATCTCCATATATCTACCATATATACTAACTGCGATTTATAGCTACATTATGAATTTTTGTTTTATTGTTTAGGCTTAGGTATAAATATATATATATTTATATATATGCGTGTTGTGTGTTATATAGCTTTCTATATACATTTAAAACAATATATCCGATATCCGCAAAGTGTGTGTGTGTGTGTGTGTTGTGCACATTCAAAATTTGTAAATTACACAATTTATCATTTTCGATTTCGTAGAACTAAGATTTTAGGTTTTCCGTTGCTTAGGATTTGTACTTGCAAGTTGCTCGCCCGCTTGAATTTTGGGTTTCTTTCGTCTGTCTTCAAATATTTCTGTTTTCTGTTTTCTATTTCCGTTTCCGTTTCCAGGTTAAAGGTTACAGAGGTTACAGGTTACAGAGGTTACAGGTTACAGAGGTCACAGGCTACAGAGGTTAGCGCCTCCGCGTGGCAGCCGTGGATGCGGTTAGCGGTGGACCTGGATTCGCTGCTCCTCCTGGAGATCCCGCTCCTCCTCCTCCGCCGGATCCTCCAGCTGCTGCTGCCGCCGCCGCCGCCGCTCTGCTCCTGGCGCTGTAACAGCTGATGGCGGTGATCAGGTTGCTGCTGGAGTTGCTGCTACTGCTGCTGCTGCTCCTCAGGGACCAGCGCTTGTTCAGGTGATCGGCTGCAGCCGCCAAGGCAGCCGTGTAGGCCCGCGTTCCAATCGCCAGCGTCGGCACCGCCGCATTCAGTTTCTTCGGCGAGGGTGGCGGTCGCGCCGAGATGGCTCCATTGCAGGCCTGCAACCGGTTGGACTTGCTGCCGGCAGGTGATCCGCTGACCACCAGGCCACCACTGCCGCTGGCACTCGCACTCAGCGTGCTGCGCCGCAAACTCCGCCGCTGCTCGCGGTCCTCGTGGCTGTGCTTCAACCGACGCGATCCGTTGGCTGCCGATCCGGGATTGCTGGGAGTTCCCCGTGGCGTGCTCACCGGGTTGCTGGGGCTGCTGAAGACACCATTCGAGTTGCTGCCTCCGCTCGCCGACGAAGAGTTGCCAACGGGCGTGGACGCTCCACCCACTCCTCCTCCTCCTCCTCCGCCGCCGCCGCCGCCACCCGAGGAAATGGGTACGTTCCGCGTCCTCAGCGTTCGCTTGGTCATGTCCAGACCCAGACCAAGTCCCATGCCCATTCCCAGACTGCAGAGGCTGCTCCGCAGCTGGCGCTTGCTCACCGCACCGCTGGCCGTCAAGCTGTGACTGCGACGGGTCATCATCATGGAACCGGTGGCTCCACCGCTTCCATTTCCGCTCGAACTGGCCACCACGTTGACGTTGACGCTGCGCCGGCGATTGACGGCCACCACCGCTGGATTGGAGCCACCGCTGGTCGCTCCGCCGCCGCCAACGCCACCGCCACCCACTCGTCCTTCAACGGAATTTGAGCCCGGGGAGCCGACTGCTCCATGCGCTGGTGATCCATTGGCATCGCTGTAGGCCACAATCGCCGCCGCACTGGACGCCATGAAGGACTTGGGCTTGACGTGCTTGAAGATCTGGCGGCGACGCGTCTGCATGTGCTGGTGATTCTCGTTCGGAACATTGCGATACCTTCGGATTTGACGGATTCGTGGAGCGGCCATTGAGCCAGCGGAGTCGAGCGATTCGCCCACCGAGGAGTTGGAGGCCACCGGGGTGATCTCCGAGTCCTGGAGCTTTTGGATGTGCTCGAACAGGTAGTGGACCGCCTCGTGGTTGCATGGATCCTCCTTGCGGATCTCGGCCACTGTTTCCAGCACAGCCACGAGTCCCGGCGCGTCCTGCTTGGCTCCCTCCGGCTGCCTGGGCAGCTTTCGTGCCAGAGGCTTCTCCTTCTCCGTCGCCAGCTTTTCCAGCAGTTTGATGGGCGGCTCCACGAGCAGCGGTTCGATCTCCACCTGGATCACTTGTTGCGTGGGAGTGGCGGGCAGCGTGGAGCTCACCTCGTTGTCCTGCAGCTCCTGTTCGGGTTCCTCTACACAGGGTTCCTGTTCCCGTTCGGATTCCTGCTCGATGTGGACGATGGTCTCCATTACAGGCACCTCGATTTCCTCCTCCTCCGTCGACGTTGCATTGTTCCATTGTTCGGCGATGGCTGCTGTGGGGAAGGCGAACTCCTGCTGACCCGAACTGCTGATGATGGCCTGCTCGCGCTGCAGCTGCTGCTCCAGCGCCACCTGCTCCTCCTCGGCGCGCTCCTGCTGCAGCAGAGCGTCCAGTTCGATCAGCTCCGCCGGCTGTTGTTGTTGCTGCGGCCACGCTTCGGTGGTCAGCCGCTCCCGTTCCCTTCGAGTCTCCAGCTGCGTCAGCGAGTAGCCCTCCTGCTGCTGGTAGTGCTGCTGCTCCTGGATGATCTCCAGCATGCTGCGATCCACCACAACGGATGCAGTGGATTGGCCAGTGGTGGATGGATGGGTTTCTGCTTCTGCTGCTGCTGCTGCCGCTGCTGCGGAACGAGAACGCGCCTCCTGCTCCTCCTGCTCGTTGAGCAGCGTGTTGTAGGACTCGGCGAAACTGTAGCTGCTCTCCAGGTGCTGCTCCAGTTCGCTTAGCTCCCGATTGCCAGCCCGCACGGCTGGATTAATTGGACTAATTGCCGGTGGCGCCGTTACATTTACGCTGTTCGCATAAATGGCGCACTTGTCGATGCTGCTGTGCGAATACATGTCCATTGTGGCGCCAGTGAGTCGGTCTGGCTCGGGATCGGGATCAGGTTCCGGTTCGGTTGCGCCGTTCCACGAGTTGTTGATCGTGGACTTGCGCCACGCCTTCCGCGAACTAAACAAGATCTGCTGCAGCAGACCGTCGGACTTGATTTGGCTTTCCTCCTCGGCGTGCTCCTCCTCGATGGTCTCGTCGTCTTCGTCCTCCTCCTCCTCCTCCTCCTGTTCCTCATCCTCGTCCAGGCCAAAGTAATCGAAGTCGCGAAAGGCTTCCGGCGGAAGGTGCCGCTTGGCCAAGGCACTGTACGGCTGGTCGAGCACATACTCATCCTCCTCGATGAGAAACTCCGGGCAGTTGTTCTCCACATCGACATCCACGTCCGCATCCAGCGGGGAGTGCTCCCCCTGCTCGTCGTCTTCCTCCAGCAGGAGTTCGACCTCCAGATCAGTGTCGCGTTGCATTGCGGATTGCGAACGCGCCGGCGTGTTTGTGGGTGAGTTTGCGGAGTTGTTGTGTGCCGCTGGCGTTAGTATCACAGTCACAACGGACGTGTTGTCCGCCCGCATCTTTTTGGCAGCCCAGGTTCTTAGGGCTTGGTCCACCAGCGCCTTGCTGGGATTCATGACGTCCTGTTCTTTCAGTAGCTCGCCGATCAAGTGCTCCTTGCGCACACTGTCCACCGCCTCCTGGGCGGTCACCACGTTCCACAGGCCATCGGTGCCGAAGATCAGGCATCTGCAATGCAAATAATGGCGGGTTAGCAAAGTTCACAAGACGAGATATCTCAGATCACTCACCTAAACGTACTGGGATCGATTTTGACCACCTTGACATCCGGATCTGGACTCACAACGAACTCCTTGAAGCGTGAATTGTAACTCCAGAGATCGCCCAGGGAACGGGCCACCGCCAAGAAGGGTATGTCGTCCACCAAAGTTCTCCTCCGAATTGGTCCGCGATGCATTGGATCCCTGGGTCGATTCCACACCACGCGCGGTACTCCCGACTTGATGGCCACATTGCCGCCGGCTCGCTGGATTCTCGTCTTCTCCGCCAGCGATTCCGGCTTGTGATCGGTGGTCAGTGGCTTGGCCCGCCAGTTGCGTTCGCCCTTGACCTGGTAGCCCAAAACGATCCCAGAATCGCCCACATGGCCGATGTAGATCTTCTCGCGACGCATGAAAGCCACTGTGGCGGTGGTGCCAGCGGTGCTCAGGTGCCCGTTGGCGGTGCGGGGCCATTTCTCTGTGGGATTCAGAAAAGCAAATGGCAAATAATTAGAAAATGCCTAAACGCTTCAAGTTTTGCTGAATAATTTATGATCCCCAGGTTATTTTCGTCTATGTTTATGTGATATTTCCTCTTACAATAAAAATAACAAGTTATTATCAAAGGTTTTGATTCTAAAATTATCAAATAATCAGTATGAGATAATAAGATTATCAGTTATTAGATAATACGTTTATCTCTTAGTCAAATTATATTTGAGTTGCGTTATTCTAAAATTTAAGGTTCCCTTCTTATGTATCTAATTGAAAATTATATACATATAATATAGATTCTTTATAAAATTTGAAGTTGTAAGTTTGAGTATCTGTATCTTGTCGGAAGCATTTCACCACGTCATGAAAATCTATAAAGTCTAAATAATAGGGGATACTTTTAAACTAAACGTGGTTTTATTTCTGGGTTTCCCCAGAAAACAAAATGTAATTGCAAAATAAAGGTGAAAATAACTGTGTCACCATGACAATATTTAGTGAGGCGATGACTAATGGGCTTAAACTGCCACTTTACATCATAAAAAGCTGTTCAAAAAGTTGTTTTTCAAGGCCCTTGGATTTTTGGCGGTAAAATGGATTTTCTTCCATATCAAAACATCATCAAATATTGATATTTTTCAAAGCACAAACATAGATACACACATGTGCCTACATTTCTAGCATCCCTTGGATTTCTGTGTACTTTGTTTTTCTTATGTGAAAAGGAAATGGGCACACATTTATTTTCTCTTTTCTCTATCTCGTTCTCTCGCATTCTGTCTCGCTCTTTCTCGCATTTCGAAACGCCTTCATAAGTTCGCGCCATTATATAGTCGTCTCGCTCTAGCTCACAGTGGGGTTGCCATGCTTGGCGAGAGTACAGCCATATGGCAAGTCCGTGGAATATTCCACTCGCGATAACTGTGCCTATGTGTATCAGTGTGTTTATATCTTTGTATCTGTATCTTTTAGTGTGGGCTGACAATTGAGATGAGCGAACTGAGCGATGGTTGAGTCACCACCACACACGGTTGCATAATTACCTAGAGATGAGAGAGCCGAGTGAGCTCCTCCGCTTTTGGGGTCACTTTATTTAGAGGGGCATAATGGCAACCCTGATACCAGGGGATTTACCCGGTTTGAACATCATCAAGTGGCAGTTATTAAACCTATTGCGCTCATCTTTAACGGACAACAATTTAAAACCAAAACTTCTTCAGAAAACGCAAACAGAATAGACTAAGGTAAATTTTACGGTAGCTGTAGGAATCAAAACACAAACAGAATAAACAGGATATGATTCATTAGAAGGAATATCCATTTATAGTTTCTTATTGCTTTCTTTCCTTTGTGCACATTACCCTAATCAATGATCTTGTGTCGATCTCGTTATAGTTGTATTGTTAATTTAAGGCTCACCTTGTTCCCGCCACATGGCGAAGTGTGTAGCGATGTATCCCTCGCGTATTGCTCTCAGGACGTCCTCGTCCTTATCCGACCAAAACTGTTTTTGCTTGACAATCTCCAGCATTAAATGTTCCTTGGCAAAGAGTGCAGCCTCGGGACCGCCATGGCCATCATATATGCCAAAGAATGCATATTCTAGTTCGTGCGTTACCGGTGATTCCTGATAGGCAACCGAAAACTGATCTTCCATATATTTCCTGCCGCCTTGGCTGCATTGTCCCGTTACGCGCATATTAACGCCAAGGGAAGAGCACGGCGAGGGATTGGAAGCACTTGGGCTAGAGTTGTTATTGGAACCGCCGCTCTCTGGAAGCGGTTGTTGCTGCTGCTGCTGTTGTTGTTGTGATCTCACTGGAACGATTGCCGCTGACCGGCGTAAACGACTTTGCGCCGCTCCACCGCCGCCCCGAAAACGATTTGTTGTCTCTGTCGTTATATTCTGCTGTTGTTTCTTTGGATTAAACGGCTTGGCTGGTGTTGATCCCGCCTCCACATCTATTTCCACTTCCATGTCGTCAGTGTCGTTCATTAATTCTTCGTCCAGGCTCGGAAATGCATCCTGATCCGACGTTTGACCTCTCCCCGCTGCCGGTGCAATAACAACAACACTGCTGGCATCCAGTGCTGGATGGCACTCACTGTTATTGTTATTGTTGCTGCCGTGGCGAGAAGAGGACAAATGCTGTTTCTGCTGTTGCCGTGGAGTAACGGCTATTCGTGGCGGTGGCGGCATTGTTGTCGTATTATTATCGGCATAATAGTTAATAATATCGTATTCCAAACACGGTGATTCGGTGTCCTGGAATGAAGAGCCGCTGGTAGTTGGCGTTTCCCTTAGACGAACTACCGTTCTTTCAATGGCCGACTTGATGAGGCATCTGTTGGTATTGGTAGTGCTGTTGGTATGGGTGTTACTTTTATTATTGGCGGGCAACATCTTGTATTTTTGTTTTTCCCGTGTTTTGTTTATGTTGCCGCTGCTTGGGGCTGCCGCTTCTTCTTCCTCTTCTTCTACCTCCTAGACGTCGCGCAGTGTTGTAATTTCCGATGACATTTGGCACTCTCGCACACACACACGCACACGTCGTACCACAGAAAAAAACAATAAAAAATATATAATGTACAAGAAAGGCAGTTCAGGGGCCTCTCTCTATTTCTATCTTGCTTTAGCAGCCCTTCCGCTCACAGTAGGTGCAAGCGAGACGACTATATTCGGTAGCCACTCCGCTGTGCGTGTGTGTTGTGTATTTACGTTCGCCAGCGCCTTTGTGTATGTGCGTGCTTCATCTAGCGTATTTAGTATTTTGTATTTGCAAATTGGCCGCCAAAATATGATGAATTTCCTTTTATTCAATGCACCAATCGAACGACAAGTAGTTAACAGTTTTTTTTCTTGTTTAAACAGCCAGGTTAATAGCGCCCCGTTTTCAAAGGCGAGAACTCAATGCCAGGGCGCGCAGTTTCACCTTGATGAATTGTTGTTTGCCAGCATTTTCTGCCGTATTTCGTTTATTTTCGCTTTAAGCCAGCACTTTCGTATTGCTTTTTTCCGCCAGTACGTACACATCCACACACACAACAACAAAATTCACGGTAAATTGTTTAACAAAAATGATTGGAAAAAAAAATCAAATAGAAAGCGTGTGACCGTTGCGAAAGTATGACGAAAATACCACGCAACCTATGTAATGGAAAATACTGGAAAAACACTTATCGATAGCAACCCTACATGGGTTGGTCGGGCTCTTATCGATTAAATCGAAAACCTTTTTTTAAGAACCGGAATTATATATTCATAAAATATTTTGTGCATTTATTTTAAAAATGTGACAACTGTACTTAAATTACTTTTAGTTTTGTGAACATCATCACCAACAATTTTTAGACATATCAGGACTCGATTACAAAGTATCAGTATCACCCAACATATACATTTATTAATACTTGTTAAGAACGATACCTGCAGAATTTTAGTATGTAATTAATTTGCTTCATATTATATAAATATTTAAAATTTTCATTTCCGAAAGTTTATATATTACATATTCACCGCTAGTAAAGCCATCATGTGAATCAACACCATCGACACTTAATTTGTATTAAAATTAAAATGTATAAAAAATTAAAATTATTTAACAAATATTAAATAGTAGCTTTAATGGCTTTAAAAATATACAGTTTTAAGTATTTTGTAGTTCGACCTCTTTTTCTTAAAAATATAGTTACTTATATTTCATATAAAATAATAAAACCATCACGTGAATAAACATCATCGATACCAATTTTGTATTTGAATTGAATTTTATTAAAATGTAAATTATTAAGCAAATATTAAATAGTAGCTGAAATGGTAATATTAAAAGTATTAATATTCATTAAATTAATTTTAGCTTTTCTGAAAATACCGATAGTCGCCCGCAAATCAGCTGTTATTATCGCTAGCAACGCTGAGACCAGAGATGCTGTTCAAAAATGTACCTTATCGAATATAGAATATAAGCAATTAAGTTGAAAATTATGCGGAGATTGATTAATATTTGTGTTGTTTTATGATATTGACATTTTATTTAAGTAAAGTGAGTTTACTGCACTTTTAAAAACAGTCAAATCCACCTCATTTTTCTTTTCAACGCTTATCGATAGACCAATAGTCTTCATCACTGGTGCCAGACGCCACCCGCCAGACGCGGCCTGCCAGACGCCGCCCGCCCTCGGCCAATCAGAGCAGCGAACGACTCGCATGTCGGCGCCAGTCCCCCGATAACCCGAAATCGAATCCCGAAATCGAAGCCGTCGCTCAGTTTATCGTTAGCAAGCAAACCGCCCAGTAGTTACAAGTGACAAGTTCCAGTTGCCGAGCGCCAGGCCGACCTGCTTCCACACTCACAGTTTCCAATACAATCCAGGCGACTACGCTTAGCGGTAAAAACTCCCACACACACACTGCACAACAAAAAGGGGCATCTTTTGTACCCCGGTCTTCAGAAATCCGCCAACACACATTTTTTCCGCTTTTTTTTCACGTTCTCTGTTCTCAAAAAAGTGCAAAAAAAAAAACGCGGCGTGCTAAATTTGTATTGCGTGCGAAATTGCTGACAAAAAACAAGGAAACCCATACACACGCACTCTGTTCTTTTCTTGCTACTGCTGGTTTTAAAGTTAAACGATTTGTATTTTATTAGAATTAATTTGGTGACAGCTGTTGAACTCTAAGTGAAAAAATCGCGCGAAATAACATAAAAACAAAAGGTAAGTTAACTAGTAAAAAGGAAAAATTCTAAAGCCGTGTGAATGTTCTTGAATGCAAGATGCAACGTTGTGCAATTTTAATAATGTGAAAAATTCCCATGGTGTACGGTGTATATGTGGGAGTACAGGGCATATGCCATTTTTCTTTTTTTTTTTGGAGCTGTCTGTATTTTGGAGCTGCGGTGAAATCAAGTTTCAGGTTGACGTCATTTTAATTATGCATAGAAACGCAGGTAATGGGCCAATTTTGGTCTGCTGTTTCCGCTTCATTTTTCGTGAAATTCCCAGCTAATAGTGATCAGCTGCCAAGAGTTTGAGTTTCCATTGGGCAACTAGAGAAAATGAAAGAGTTCACTGATTAGTAAGAATGAGTACTGAATTGAAAATTCGCGGGTTTCAAATTGCAAACGGGGAATTCAATTACCAACTTCATGTGTGTGTCTTTGTGTTGGGTGGCCAGCAAAAAACGTTGCGTACTTGCAGGTGCAGGACCCGGTTCATTCCTTCTCTATCTCTCTCACACACTCGCTCTTTTTTCGCTGGCAGGCTGTCATTTATAATTTCATTTCAATCCAGTGAATGTGTGTGTTTGGAAAAGGAACATAACACCAAAAAACGCACAATCAGAGTGGCGCGCTTCCTGCTCATAAAGGAACGCATCTGGCCCCCATTCTTTCTCTCTCTTTCTGTTTAACTGCCAATGCAGTTTTCTAATTGACTTCATCAGAAGAACAAGAGGAATCATCCGATGAAGAAGAGCGAGCTTTAGCATCCCATTCACATACACACGTGCCATCCCTCTCACTCCATTGCTCTTTGGCCACCTGTCATTTCTTGGTTGTCTCCCTTCCATTACCGTTATCACGCTCCCATACAGTTCAGCCTCGTTTACCGTTATAATTTGCCTACCCTGCACTTTACTGTCAAACGTCAGGAACACGAATCTGCTAAATGGAAACAAACTTCATTCGTCAACAAATAGGAGAAGAGAAACGTCGTCTCAAAACAAAAAGAAAAAAAAAAAATATAAGTTTGGAAATCAATCTTAAATATCTGCTTCTGAAAGAATAACTGTGAACTTAAAAAAAACTTTAAAGTTTAAGTTTTAAAGAAAATTATTTTAAAACGATTTTTTGTGGATCAAAACTTCACCTCAAGTGCTTATTAGGATTGCAATCAGTTTAAAGTAAATCGTACATTTGCCATAATAATATTAAAAAATTTTTTTAAATATAACAAAATGAGTTAAATAATTTTTTTTATTTTTTAGCAAGACCAAGTTAAAAAAAAAAATATGTCACTAAATTTTTTTCTTGCCAAATAAAAAATAAAATATAAGTTTTCCTTCATTTTAATTGTCATCAACATATATTTTTATGTGCCCATTTTAAATGAAACATCAGGTGAAATTTTTGGATAGTAATTTGATATCCACTTTAAAGATTATTCACTGTACCTGCAGATTTGTTTACTGAAAGGGGAGCTGTTTGTTGTTTTTAGCTTTATATCGGACTTTACTGGTTGCTTTAACTTCGGCTTTTCCGGTAAATGGGGGAGCATATTGGGTACGCGTGCACGCATCAAGGGCTGGGTATCCTGGCGACTAAATTTGGTTACGGTTGCTTTGGCGTACTCCCCACCCCCCTTTTGCCCCCCTTCCTTACCGTTTTTCCACCCACTGATTTTGAGGTTGCAATTGCGAAATTCCAAGCGCACTTAGTGGAGCTCTATACACTGGTATTTTGTGCTGTTTGCCTTGCTTTCCCTCGATGCTTTTGCTATGCTTTTTCGTAACTAATAAGCAATGCCACTGCCCGCAAAAGTATGCTACGTTAAAAAAAGAGCAATCGCAATGGGATGTGTGCATGTGTGTGAGCCTTGAATTTGAATTAGTTGTTGCTGTTTCACGGAGGCAGCCTCTCTGTCATGGCCACCCATGCATGTGTGTGTGGAAAGTTGGGGAGAAACAGAGAGAGAAAGAGAGCATCTGCTCAAGGCCATGTTGCAATGCACTGGTTGTGCTGCCATCTCGCTCGCTCTCCTCCCAATTAAATTCATATGCATTGCCTGCTAATTGGCATTGGTATGTGTGGTTGTGTTTCTCTTTGTGTGTGTGTTAATATGTCATCCTGCGGTTCTGATATTTGATTTGTAATATTGCCACTTGTATTGCTTGTGTTTCTATAATTAAATTGCCAGGCTCATGCTGTGTGCAAACTATCCCGAAAAAGTATGCAATGCGCCTGCGTTAATAAATGGTGCAGAGAAAGAAACAAGAGCCTTTGGGATCTATATAAATATTTTCAAAAAATATTTTTACCAAACAGCTATTAAGGAAAATGCTGATTAAGATTAATCAGAGAAATTCAGCCTATTATTGTGATGAATCCTGAAATCAAACTTAAGGATTATGGTCAACATTATGCACTTTTAAATGTTTTTATTATCGAGCTTGTTCTTTCTGTGTAGGCGTGTGTTGTGTTGGAGCTAAGTTGATTAAAACCTGCTCTTTAATTGAAGAAATTGCTAATAACGTTCCACGATGCGCTCGCCTCTCTTCAGTGGTGTTGCTCATCGTTCTCTTTCTTTCAATATCTTTACAGTTATAAAGGCAAGCCGACAAAAAAGTCCGACTTTTCGACAAGTTTGAATTGAGTGAAGTCGTAAACAGCAGCCAAAATGTCTGATCGCAAGGCCGTTATTAAAAATGCTGACATGAGCGAGGAGATGCAGCAGGATGCCGTCGACTGCGCGACACAGGCCCTTGAGAAGTACAATATTGAGAAGGTAAGCTAAAAAATCATTTGAACTCTCCTTACTGGTTAAAATATGGGCTGAATACATCATATATGTATAGTACTGCTAAATAAAAAGGTTATAGTATGCAGACAGACAGGACACGAAAAAGTCATTAAAGCGTATTTCAATTGGGGTCAACAAAAAGGGTTTACATGTAATCATTTTCACTGATTAGGGGTTGAAAGAAGGGTTAGAAAAATAGTCTTTTTAGGAACAACAGGTGTTTTTGGTAGGCGGGTTATTGGTTGTACGAATGAATTCCTTTACAAAGTTCATTAGGAATTGGTTTTCGTTATTCGCCTGCGCTTTTTGTAATTAATTCAACAATAATGAATCAGTAATGAATTAATTAATCTTTGCACTGTTTCAATTTAACTTATTAAATTTTGGTCAAACTAAGTTTCATTTTTGATAATCAAAATGCAATAAATGAAAAGCAATCTCTTGTAATTCCAACAGGAATTAAAGGCTTCATTTGATTATTTTGCAAATAAGGTAATTAGAAATGATAGACTGACGGGCTGCATGATTATTGTTTTAGCCAAAAACCGTAATTAAAATGGATTTACTCACACACGTTGTGCATCCAGGAGTTTTGTTTATGTTCGAACATTGTTGCATCTCAGACAGAAAACTGAAACCAAAAACGCTCGCCCATTTTCCCTGTAAAACTTGTGGTTTGAATTGCGTTTGGCAATTTCACAATTTTGCGGTGCATTTTGGATTCTCCGCCCACTTCCGTTCAATTCCGTCCACCCACATTTTCCATTTCCACCTCCATTTTCGCCCGCATCCTACTACGCCCACACAAGTGCGTCGCAGTTTTCCCCCTCTTGCTGTTCTGATGAAAAGCTCCTTTTCACAAACAATGTGCAATATTTTCCTGCATTTTCCAGGAATTTTTGTAATTTTATCACTCTTAACCTCTGCCCTTATCTTTGTTCAGCTGTGTGTTGTGTGGCACAAAGGCCAAAGCTTTTTAATTAACAGTTGGAAACTGTGAATTCATATTTTTCGCAAAAGGGAAAATGTATATTTAAAAGGAATTCGGAATTGGCTTTGAGAGAAAAACCTGTGGAGCAAATACAGATTTGATTTTTTTAACGCATATTTATTTTGTTGACAAATAAGAAAGGTCCTTAAAGACAGTAAACAAAATGCATAGTTGCAAGGCCAACTCGTTGAAAATAAGACCGGCAGTTTCCAGTAACTAACCTTCGGGAAAAGTGGCCCTGACTTAGAGATTTCCTCCGAGGATAAATAGGTGGTGGTGTGGAAAATCGACGGAGGACTGACCATCATTAACAATGTCCAACAAAGTTGGGGCGAAACAACAACTTAAATAAGCTCTTGATTTAGTCGGCTGCGAGTGCAGAGAACAACAATAACAAAAACAAAACAGAAAAAAAAAAACAAAATCAGCAAGCAATGTCAACAAAGTCGAAGAAATTGAATAATCAATACGGGGGCATTGGAATTGCGATTGAAGGAAAACTGCCGGGCACACACACTACTTACACAGAGAAAAATCTTCATAAATAAACTAGCTAACAAAACATTAACCATATATTAGAAAAACACTATTTAATATTGTTTTAGAACACTTGTCACAGGTTTTAATCAAAATATAAATGGGTTATATGTCTTCTTGTGACATGAGGTAGTATTGAAATAATTGTTTTCCGTGTCAATGGAACGTGGTCAAAGTGTGGACCCTGGCTGAGGTCAGTGAAAAATATGACCAGCAAGTGGGTGGGGTGGCTGGCAGTGGGAAGAAAGGAAAAGGAAAAGCCGGGGAAAAAGCTGCGGGGGATTGCCATCAACTAGCGAGCCTTTGTCAATGCCAATGGCAGAAGACAACTCACTGGGACTGGCACTGCGACTCTGAAGCCGAGAGACTGAGACACAGGGCAAATGGAAAAGGAACGCGGGCCCTTGAAAGCAAAGCAAAGTAAACTTGAAATCCCAGCGGAAGTGGATAAAAGGCCGCGGGGGAAATGGGAAAAAAACGGTGGGGGGAAAAGCCCCAAGAGAGAGAGAGAGAGAGTCTGCTAATTGAGCAGTAAAAGCGAAATGTGCGTACACGGTGGATATTGGTTGGGAAATACTAGAATATATAAGTTATTTTTACGCAAATTCCTAGTCAAACAAATTCTTGGAATTCAATCCTATTTGACTCATTATTAAGGGGCACAACTAGTGTGACATTTCAAAAAAATCTTTTTTTTTTTTCTTACATATTTCGGTAGATTACACCTTTAAAAATAACATACTAAAATTTTAAATCGATATCTTAAATAGTTTTTGAGTTATAGCAATTATAAGAGCAGCCGCTCGTATAGCAGTGAATACGATCATTTTATCTTTAAACGCGTTTTTCTCGAAACTGCATTTTTCGAATTTGCTGCAGTGATAACTCAAAAACTAATGATCCGATCACTATCAAATTTTTTTTAGATGTTCTATATATAGTCCTCCCTACAATGACCTATCGGTTTCTTGATCCGATCAAAAATCGAATTTTGGCAGGCCAAAAACGACCCAAATTTTGGGTAAAATTCGATGTTTTTTTTTTAAAACGCCGCCATTTTGTCAATTTTTGATATTTTTTATTTATCGTAGGTCATTGTATGGACAATATCATCTAGTTTAACGAGAATTTTTCATTTTTTGATTTCATCCACGGAGTAGGCCGGAATCACTGCAGCAGTTGGGGCACTTTTTTTTTAGCGCCGTTGGAGATCGGCTCTAGCTTAAAAAATATTTAATTTTTTTCTTTAAAAATTTAACTGTATATTCTTCAAACATGTATAAATATATTCTGAAAATTTGAAAAGAATTGATCAAGTAGTTTTTTTTATAAAAATTCCCAAAAATCACCATTTTTTTATGCCGTCACACTAGTTGTGCCCCTTAAGACAAATAGGAAAGACCAATCCCGTTTGTTTTAGAATTACTATGTATTGTTATTGATACATATTATTTACCTTAAGCATAAAAACTACTAAAAAGAATGTACAAAATCAAACCTCTATCTGGAGATGTCACATTAGATATTAAAAAATGTCTCACTGTATTCGCGAGGACTTGGCGCACAAAAGTATGCCACACAATTTGTTTTTCTTCGCACACTCCCCTTGAATGTTGTTGTCATTGCGGTGAAAGGGGGTATAGAAAATTCCGGGGGACTTTTGAGGGTGTGGAAAATGTGGAGGGAGAGGAAATTCAGCCCACATCCTATGTAAAAACACCTGAACCACCCATTTTGAGCCTACCAGTTGTTGCTATAAATAAAATATATGCCACACGATTGATTGCCTTTTGTCTTTACTCTTCCTTTTTCTCTCTCTTTTCCTCTTTCTTTTCCCGTTCCGTTCCCCCCTTTATTTTCCCCATTCTACTGCTTATTGCATAATAATAAGTTAGCCAATATTTCTCACTGTGTGTGTGTGTGTGTGTTTAAGTGTGTTTTTTGTAGGTAATTAAATATGGATTTTTGTTTTTGTTGCTTCGAGGCGAGCACACAAATTTAATTGCTTAGATGAAAATTGAAAAATTGCCGCCGTCTAATGGAAAATCATAAAAACAGAAAGCAGCCAAAAATAAGTAAAAATAGAATAAAATTGGGAAAATGAAAAGGAAGGAGGACGACCCTTAACCTTTAGATGATGCTGTGGGGCAATTGCAAGTTTGTTTTGCCAATAGCTTGCAATCAATAAATGACCTGCTAAACGGGAAGGGAAAACTCTTGATTTTCCAAATTTCCTAGCTGATTATAGGTTCAAAATATTCCAATCAGAGCGACACACACAACAGACGGGGGAAAACAATTTTTGGTATCCATTAGATACGCAACTAATACTACTGAAACGAGTGGGGGGTGCGGGGCATATGCCACCCCCTTGGGGCACACAAGGGTTAAGCCCAGCCCACCGGGGCTCCTCTTGTTGCTGTTGTGGTTGTTGTTGTTGTTGTTGTCGTTGTTGCCGTACCTTGTGCATATATTTTTAGGGGCGCACAACCTTTCAAGCAGCTTAAATCGTATCCATAGGCATTATGTTGCCCCCAGTATTTCCATGTATTTTGGTATCTGTGTGTGTGTATGAGCCGCGATTTAAAGGCAAAGCCCTAAATAAGCCAACAAGAGGGCCAAAAAAAAAAAAAAAAAAAAAATAAAACGAAAGAGGAAAAAGCAGGCAGGGCAGCAGAACATAAATTCCCAATTCCATTATTTGTTGGTATTAAGTTTTTAAAAATAAATTTAATTAGTTTAGAAACAGATAAGCAGTTTGAATTAAAATTCATTAACTTGTATTACTTTAACTTATATTCTCTAGAGCAGAGGAATTGTTAGTTTGGAGAAAGGTTAAAAGGAACGTTAAAGTGATAGAAATACGATTGTTTAAGGCGAAAACGACAACTTTGAAAAGCTTGTTAAAGGGCCATTTAAAAACGGATTTAATTAGTTTTACTTCCATTGTAAGGTTGCATTTCAGTCATTTTTTTTACTTTGTTTCATTTGATTTTTTTTCGGTTCTTGTGTCGCACAAATGGCGGAGCACTGTGAACAAATAAACAATAAAAAAAAAATAATAAAACAAGGAGACAAACATTTTACATTCAATCGATGTGGAAACTTTATGCATTTTTATTATTATTTTTGATGGGCTTTGTTTGTGATTTTTGCGTGGCCAAAATGTTTAATCAATATGCGGGCAGCAGACGAATATTTGTATGTAAATAGATTGTGTGTGTAAAGGCAAACACACATGCACATGCCACATGCATCCATTTTTATTGGCATACATTCATCGAGTGCGAGGCTTTTCCGATTTTTCCATTTCTTCAAACGTGTCCAGGCATATTTTCTGGGGCTTAAAGCCTAAAGAGATTTTTCAGGTGTGGTCTAAATGGACAGGGAATTATCCTGCTGTTTCTTGCATGAACTAATTGAAGGCCCGAAGTGCTTTGTGTTTTTTGCAAACAGC